CTTTACGTTACGTTGGGCAACTGGCATGGACCCACAGTCTCAAAAGACTGACCTTGGGGTAGCCCTGAATTTCGGTAGGACGCCTTGTATAAAACGCTGTTGCACATCAAGCACGGGAGCTGATGGCCTGTTAGGCTGTTACAAGGTCGAGCTCGAAGCTGGGTAGGACGGCCGTTCAGTGTTTCTGCAAGAAACCAGTCGGAAGGTCGGAACTTTTCTGCTTCCCTGCTGCGTCATTGTTTGCCTTGAAAGCCTTGTAGACGTGCCATTATGCTTCCCTTTTGGCTATGCGTACGGATGCTGTACCGTTCAAAAACATGGTCCCTGTCTTGCCGGGTGCAATCGTTCATATTGAGGACTGCCGCCGTTTGTGGTCCGCTAGGTATTAATAGCCAGTGGGATAACAATTTATCATTCCACCAAAGTCGGCATATCCCAAGAGCATCGCTGTCGTGGAATGAGACATGCCCCCAGCTGGTGAACTAACAGCCTGACAGCGTCTTTGTTGGAGGTACGAATCTCTGTACGTTACGAGGCATGGCTACCCGGTGGAGAGGAGCAGATGCAGGGTCATCATCTGTCAAATCCCATACGCCCCTCCCTTGGACGATGATTCTGCACGCCTGGATCTGGAACCAGACTTTTAAGATTTTGGCAGGCCAGCCCGAAGCTCGGCAATCCTTTTGCGGCTGGCGTCCGTCTTTCCGGTACGACGCGACCTGTTGCAATTGTCCCCACGCAAGCCAGCAACCGTCCCATAAAGCTGGTGTTGTCTGTGTGCGGTCGGACAGGCACTAAAAAAAATGGACGATGGCCTTGCATTTGCGAGGATGCCACAATAGCAAGCAATGCCCTGGATCAGTCATTGAGTTGATGGCGCGTCCTGCCGCTTTGTGCTCTTCCCCATCGTCGCTCTTGGCCCCTCTTGGGAGTGTCTAGTGATTTCCGTTTTTCTATCCGTACGGAGTGCTGCTGCTCATCTCCGATCGGTCCCAGATGAGATCGGCTTGCATCATGAACAGGCGGTATACCCTGGCAGAGTTGTTCATTGATAGCGACAGCATCAAAGTCAAGGGACAGACGTTGCCCTCCCAAACGCACTCGAAAGCAGGGAGGCTAGCTCAATATGCGAAGACAGGATCGGAGCTCGACTGATACGTTCCTTAAGGTATTTAAATGCGATTTTGAACTTCAACCTCCGACAAGCGTTCTCTCGCTTTGTCTAGTCGTGGCGTGACTGGCGTCAGGGGCGTTGAAGACGATTGGACTTGCTCAATTGTTGCTGTGCACGCCAGCTCTTCTATGTGCGACCAGAGTCACGTTTCCAAAAGATCCCCGAGCCTGAGGGACAGGCTTCCGTGGAGTGGGGGTCTGGCAAGCTACTGATCACTGACCCGATCATCGACGAGCACAGTCCCAATGTCTCAGACATGTTGTAACTTGTACGGATACATCTCGTCTGTCAAGCTCTCAAGCGATGTCAGCCCAGGTGGCTGAAGGATGTTGAGTTCCCTCGACCTCGACACCTTGTAGTGGCGCCCAGTAGTATGTACCGCGGCTCCGCCCTCCGGCTTCCGTTGACAACACACTCCACTTTCCGCAGAACCTTCAATCTGCATCTGCATTCTACGCAGTACGGAGTAGAGGCCTGACGTTGGCTAACCTGCCAGATTATGTGTCTGAGGTCCGGTGCCCATGTAATTGTGTCCCGAGCCGCATGGTGTGCATGTTTGACGAGGTGGGCCTCACAGGGCAAGCCGGGGTCAGCTTCCGAATGCCGTTCCATCAGACACCCGCTGTAAATAGACATTTGGTGATGTGATTATCAATGGAGGCGGCCTTCACTGACAGAGATATAGTGCAGGCAGGGGCGTCAAATGAGTTGATTTGGGCCAATGGAAAATAGGGTGCGCCGAAAACCGTCGCATGGGTCGATCTTGATTCAATGATTGTAAAGTATCGATAGCACAATCCAATAATTGGCATGCTATTGCATTTGGGGATTGCGGCCGAGGGCCAGACATTGGCGTGAGCTTTCGAGCATCTCTGTCGCAGACGGACGGTCCCTGCGGGGTGTCACATCGTAAATGCGGTGGTTGAGACGACAAAGACTGCCCGCTTTGGACTCTACTGGTCGTTTTGCTAGCACGTACTTCCGGTTCAGGACGTTCCAAAGGGGACGGCCGTTGCCATGATTCTGCTTTTGTCCACATTTGACATCGTGTCCCTTTTGTGGTCTTGGCATTTGGTATCGGGCTGTTGACCTGGCACATGAAGCCCGCATGGTGTTGCACTCAACCATGCCCGGACCTAGCTCCGGTGTGCAGTGCGAAGAGAACGTACGAAAGGCGTGTAGGGGGTCTTGATGCCAGTGACATTAGCTATAACGCCGCAAGAATCACTGTCATTCTAACCTAGCCCTAGAAAATATCAGTACCATTACTAGAATGGCTGTGTTGGCGGTTCGGCCTTCTTGGCCAACGCCGTTGGAGAACTGAACGAGATCATGGAGTGCCAACATGTGCGTTGTTCCAAGGATTCTACCCGGCTGCTTGGTCGTGGAAAATAGTAAAACCTCTCAAGTGGCCCGCGCCAAAGGTGCATACTTGACTGGTGTTACTAGAGGAGATTCGTTGGAGTAGAATTACTGATGATATCGAGTCGCCGATGTTCTGAGACATTTTCTCCTTCAAGGTATCTTAGCTACGCATCCAAGTGTAAACGGTCTAGTCGAGCAGAGGCTGGTCATAGCAGGTCCAAGTGGGAGTGCGAAAGAGTGCGCAACATTATGGGCCCAAGATTCAACCTTTTGCAATGAATGCAGTGCAACCGCATATGCCCGGGGTTGCATTGGGCGCATGATGGTCTGTACCAGTCTGAGCCTCTAGGAAAGCCACTTCTGGGAGGAATCGACGTCGATTGGAGGCAGTAGTTACTCTGTAGATATCCTTAGTATCTGGTTGTATGGGTGGCGTGTCCGTGGCAGGAAAATGGAATGCCACCCACCTCTCAGTACCAGAAGAGACACAAATGTGTGTGATGATGAAAGCGAGCCGTCATCGTAGGCTGGTTCGTAGGTAGACAGAGCCAGAGCAAGGCAAAAAAGTGTGTGTGTGTGTGTGTGTGTGTGTGTGAGTGGGTGCTGGCGGGTGGGCTGGTTGTGCTTGGACCGCGAAACGACGAAAAGAGCAGACGCGGATTCGGGCCTGCTGCGACTGACTCTATCCGTGAAGGAGACGGAACAGAATAGGGTAGACAACGAGCGAGCCAACAAAGGCTACAGTCAGAAGAGGGCCGACGACGGGGAACGGGGCCCGGGGGCGTCGGTGTAGGTACCGTCTTGGTGCGGGCGTCTCTCAATCGAGATATTGATGTGTGGAGAGGACGGGCGTTGCGCGGAATATGTTGGGCATGAAGAAGAGAAGTGTGTCCGTTTGCCAGGGCAGGGTGCCAGTCTTTTTTTCCAACATTATTCGTGCATTGGTGAAGACAGGAATTGGCTGGTATAATCTTCCTTGGACAAGCGACGCATGATGCGATTCGAGCGCTTCCGATACAGCAAGGTCCTGGCTTCGCTCGGCGTGACAATTAGGCGGAGGAGGGGGGAAGTAATTCAAGCGCAAGAGGGAATTTGGTGAGGGGATTCTGGAAACCAAGGGGGAAAGAAGAAAGAGATGGTGTGTATGAGCGTGTTTGCTGTGTCCTCTTGTGCTTCGGATTGAGGTTGAGTCGAGTATCGAGTCGAGCGTCATGTCGTGTCGGCACATGGATTCATGAGAGCAGCACTGCAACAGACACGGGGCTAATCTAAAGGGAAGGTGCCCTGCATGGGGCTGCTCCTTCTGGATGGACCGTTGCCCTGACCTGGGCCCCTGTACACTACTGTACGAGTAACAATGTACTACGTACCTTCCTTACCTTACTCCGTACACCTTGACCTTGACCTTGGCTTGAATGGGTGATTGGGTACGAACTACGAGGGCCAAGTGACATGGGAAGAACAGTGGGCTTTGTCTTACCTCATCTGTGTCCCATCTGCGTGTGTAATGCTTCCGTGTGGTCCTTCACCGAGGGCAATCGCGCCTTCTCGTGCGCCTGCACCTCGGACTCAGTGCGGATCGCGGGTTGGGGGTCTATTGTACCACATGATACGGCAACTGCCCAAAGCTGATGGATTCCTTCTTGCTGATTCATGCCTTGGTCAAGCATCAAGTCCAAACCGAGCCAACAGCAATGATCACATTTGCAGCATTACAACAACAAAAAAAAGAAGGCAAGGGCGGGGCAATATGTTTCCGTTTCTTTGCTTTTCTACCTCATGTTTTCTCCCGAGTGCCTCCCCATGGACATCAATGACTGTCGGCGACGTATTGACCCCTCAAGAGCTCTCCATCCGCCGGGGCAGCAGCCAAGAAATGCATCCATGTTTGGAGGGTTGCATGAGGGAGAAACGTCGGGTCAAAGAATGGACCTGACGCATCAAGCTCGTTGCACTGCCATTACTATTGCCATCCAAGTCGACAATGGGAACTTACACGCACGTCCCCCGCCAACTGTGGCAGCTGGAAATCACCGGTTCAGTCTCGCAGATGATAAATCATTACGGAGTACCAATTGCGAAGTACTTGGCGATATCCTTGGTGGATAACCCTGGCGCGAGAGCCTGTTACATGTAGGAATATACCTACAGATACATTCCCCCCTGCCTTGCCTACCTTACTACTGCGTAGGTAGATCACACATTAAGAGCTCACAGCTTGCCATCACTGATCAGTACCAAGATTTTCTGCATATAATATCTAGGGCGTCCAGTGAGAGACATGCGGCCACGGGGCTGAAGAAGGGGATAGCGCAAGGGGGAGGAAAAGAAGAAGAAAGCGGGCGAGGATGAAGATGGTGATGGATGATCCTCCTGGAGGTCCAAGGCCTACTCCGTAAACAAGGCAAGCACGCAAGGAAGGAAAACTGCCTGCATAGTTTGGGACGGAAAAAAGGAAAGCATGATGAAGAGGCACTTTTGCTCACACCTTCTTCTTTCCTCGTTGTTTGCCGTCAATCATCTGTCGGTACCTACCTACCTTCGATTATTCTCTGAGGTGCCTTCCGATAATAATTCAATCATGGTACGTATGATGCCCCCAGTTGGAGTACGGAGTAAGTACCTTGGCTACCTAAGACAGGCACGATCCGGAATACCTTCCACTCCTTCACCGTGCTTGCCTTCCCGTCCTTCTCGACGAAGCTGCCCACACTGCACCTCCCCTCCCCGGTTCTCCCCCCCTCCAACTGCACCTGCCTCCCGCACCCGCACCCAAGGTAAGGCAAGGTCGCACCTGCACGTTGCACATCCCGTCGACTCCACACCCACCTCCCAGCTCCTTCCTATCGACATTCGTTCTGCAGTTTCTGCAGTGTGCAGCTACCTCGCGCTACTGCTGCAGAGCACGGCCTTGCCACTGACACTTTTCTCTCCTTTTTTGCATCTTCATCATCGTTCTGCCTCCCAATTCGTACCATTCTACGGATACATTACCTTGCCTTCTCAAGGTAGTTACACATCCTTGAGATTGAGAGGCTCAGAGCATCTGGCCCATGCCCGCGTCTGCCCACATCCGTTCATGTCGGGTCTTGCTTCCTACTGCAATAATCCAATTCGTCCGTCCGCTGCATATCCTGCCAACAGGGGCCTGCCGCCGCACGCCAGCCACTCTTTCATCCCTCCATCACATCATGAGCTGATCCAGGCTTCAGACTCTTCTCCTCTTGACTCTGGCCCCGTCTCCGGTCTCTTCCCGAATCGCTTCAATCAGCCGACTACCACCACCACCATCTCACCCGCCCTCTAGGCTTAGGTTATCACTCCCTCCTCTCGGCACGGCTTCTTTTTGTGTCTCCGCTTCGCTTCACCATGCTGGTCTCGGCCGTGCTAGGCCTGACATAACCCCCAAGACGTTGCACATTGGACCAACTCAAAAGACGTTTCGCTCCAAAGTGGACATGCCCGAGACGCTTTACTCAGTACCGTTCCTTTGCCGATATGTTGACGATACCCTGAGAGTCCCAACTTCAGCTCTAGACATCGGAAGCCGACTGCCACCCTATGCTCCCACCCTGGACCACTGCTGCCGCCGCCATTCGGCGCCGGCCATGGCAATAGCGGCGCTCATCATGTCGTCTACTATAGTAAAGTTTGGACACCGCGTCCATAAGCCACCAAGGAAGGGTGCTACTATAGACGCACCAACCAACTTTATGTCGTACGCCGACTTCGCCGACGTCGTTCCCTAATCTCGTCTTCGCCCACTGTTGGTCCTGAGAGGACGGATACCCGTCTCTGCTGTGCAACCCGCTAATATTGATCATCTCAACATACATGTGCCTTGAAGCACATCATCCACATCCTTTGTGCGGTACTCTGGCTGGCTGCTGGACTGGGCATCAGATCCTCAGCTCTCTGTTATTGATCTTGCAACAATCTCGCTTGCACCAACGCCAGCAATGTCACACCCGATTCATTGCGTCCCTCAGCGTCCCCCAACGGCCCCCCACGGCAATTACCCTTTTCTACCTCGGCGCCAATTCGTCCATACTTTTGGGACCAAATTTGTGTCACTCTTCCTCAATGACAACGAAAGGACACCTGCGGATAGTCGTTGCAAGATCAAGCGCCAGCAGCCAACTTCCGCGCCTCAACATCCCTCTAAACACGTTGCATGTATAATATGTCGGCTATTACATTCGCTACTCATTTCAGAGCGCTTCAAATTATTCTCAGAGCCAACACCCTTCACACACTGCCCTTGTTCAGTATTGTATACCCTCCGCGCCGAAAAGCAAGTTGGGGCTGGTCAAGCATGAGTGGATAGACGACTCTGAGCCTCAGAGATGTTCCGAGGTGGAGGCGGAGACGCGCAGCTCACTTCCCTCTCGCTAACCCAGTCCTCGGTGCGTGTGTCTCGGTCTGCTGGAACAAAGACATCCCGCCCTGACACCTTCCGCGAAGAGAGATCAGCTTAGTCAGGTCGGTGCGTTTTACAGGGATTCATGCCACGGGACTACAGATAATACATGCTACCAGTACTCCGTACGGAGTATCCGTACGGGTATTACAGAGGACCTTTGCCGTTGAGCGACAGCTCCTCCGTCTTTTGGGGCCAGGTGCTTGTGGTGGTCTCTGTGCTGCTGCGCATTGGAATCCCCATGTGTTCCGTACGCACTACTGACAACAGAGCATCACTAACTCGGGTCACTTATTAACAACCCGACGTCTGTTCTCGTGGCTCGTAAAGCCCAGCCATGTCACAGCAGACGTCGGCAGTGGTCATCTCCCACGTCTTCTAGCCTCTCCGCGGGCGGGGTTGATACCAAAGGCGATCCGCGGACAATTGGCGCCCGCCAACCTACGGATACACATCTGTCTGATGGATATTTCCCACGCCCTCGTCAGTGCAGGACATATCGATGATCCCACCCACTGGCCAAGAGCAGCAACAGGCGGTGGATGCACGCCCGAATTCCAACGACCGCAACAGCGAACATCACTTGCCAATTCCACAAATACCTGGCCTCTGAGCCGCAATGCCATAATGTCAACCCTCTCTCGCCAGGCAATACGAATCAATCAATAAATAAAACCACAGCTGACCCAGACCTGTTCCAGTTATGGGTGGGCTTCAGAACCTCGATTGTGTCCCTCTTGGTACTTGTTGAAGCCCGCCCGTCCCTGGACGTCCCATCCACTGCTCCCCACTCTCGTCAGAGGGCGTGGCGATAGCAGATTTACCTTGCAGATGCCACGAGGTGTGCATTTATGACCAGGGGTCCAGATACCTCCCTCTCATGTATCCCTCTCTCGTCCCCATGCCCCCGTCCACTGTCAAAGCCCTCCATCGCCTGATGGGGGAATTTCCCACCTGTACCCACTGTCACAGACCTGGACCTTGCGAGGCGGAGAGACCTCAACCCTGGACCTCGTCGTCCGTCCGTCCTAACGACCGTTTTTTTGTTTTTTCTCTCGATGCAAGCGCTTCCGTCATGGCTCAGACATGGACAGGGTAGCTCAAATCCGTTCACAGTTTGCTCAAAACCAAAGCTTTTGCGCCTTGCTTCTCCTTTCTCGCAAGGTACCTACCCTACCGCACGCCCTGGCCCTGTGCTCCGTCTCACTCATATATATCCCATCGGGCCTCGACCGACCACACATACGTACCTCTTTTTCCAACCAGCCTTCGGTGCCCGAATACAAGACCAGTCTTGACCTCCTTTGCTCTTTCAACCTCATCATATACTTCTCATTACCTGCCCGGCCTGTCATCTCTTCTCTCCTCCTCCGTCTGTTCAACTTCAGACTTTGTGACGACCAAGTTACCAAATCCAGTTCCCTTCCGCCCACATACTAGTGTAACCCAACGCACATATTTTACTCTCGGCAAAAGCTATACCTAGGCAGTGACCGCGCACTTCAAATTTGGTCACCAACTTGAAGCCCATCTTCAGCTTCATCTGCAGCATTACACGGACATAGTTTCCAACAATACAGGTGGGGATGCTTCCTCGCCAAAGGTCACTGAAGTAGAGTACTGACCTCAGGAGCAGTTCTTCACCTGGTTGCCCATCATGTGCGACTTTACCAAGAACTACTACATTTACACCTCATGTATCGACCCGGGTGCGCACTTTTTCAGAACATCAGTCGATGGCAACCGGAGTCGTGCCTGTGGCAGTGGACCCCACGAACGATACATCGTAGTTCCAGGCCACTGCCCCCTTTGCAGCGGCTAAAGTATCACTACCCGACGGAACTTTTCTGTCGACTTGCCTCAGCTGAGGCCCAAGATCCGGACCTACAGCGAAAGGCTCAATAGTCTGCTATTCCTACATCTTACCGGAATTTGACCAACGCACCTACTCTGATGTCACCCTCACCACCCAGGCCTGCTTCGGGCCACCCGATATCTGCCAAGTACTAGAAAGTGCTACGAACTGGCACCGAGAGACATCAATCCAGCTTCTACTACTTCTGCTTCAATCCGGGACTTGGTGGAGGAGTGCATTGAGTGTGGCGCAGCTACTTCTCTAGCGAATGGTGTGAATTGGAAACACAATCAGAAGGGCGACACTGGCGTCTCCAGGATGGACTCGCGCCAAACCTTGGCAACATGAACGATATCAAGACCGGTGCAGTGGAACCACATAGGGAAGCTGGTTGGAGAGTGATGTCGGCACACCTCAACTTCACGCAAAATACGGCGACACCCTGAGTCTACTCGAAGGGAGGGACTGAAAGGGAGACAGGCTTCTTCGGGGGCAGCAGCGGAAAAGCAAAAGCAGAATCACAGCAAGCGAGCACAGCACAGCACAGCATTTCTAGCCCATTCTCCTTGGTCTTTTTCCTTTGGTTTCCTATAATTCTTTTTCTCTCTATTTTCTTGTTTTTTCTCCTTCATATTTCATTGGGAGGTCACCACATCGGCATATTCGGCACAGTAGACTGTGTGTTTTTCGGTTACGGTCTGATCTGTGGTGTTTTCATACCTTTTTACCCACTTCTGGGCATTGGGAACCGGCGCACAAACATTTGGAAAGAAGTATCTGGAGAAAGCAAAGTGGGATGGACAGAGAAGACTTCAGTTGATAGTAGAGGATACTGTCTGTACACAATGCTGCTACATGAAGCATGGAATGAAGAGAAACCAATGTTACCACGTTTGTGGTAACCAAGCATGTGTCACAACCTGATTTCTTCCCAATTGTGTGCTTATGTCATGCGATGCCATCAAACATCATGCCGCCGAATCTTGATGCCTTGGTCAGCTGTCATAGCAGCACGAATCCAAGAGCTCTGCGCCCTTCACCACGGTGTAGCGAATCACCAAAAATGCGTACCAAAGTCCCCACCCTCCTCAGCCGATACAGAGTGAAGCTGACTTAGTTGACAGCGCTATTGCGTACTATACTTACACTCACACGGGCCGCTACCGGTGTAGGATGCAATCGTTGGCTGGGGCAAGGAGGGGGTTCGTCATGATATCCTGCAAGCTGAGCTGCAGTAGCAAATACCTACAGTCGTTGTTCCCTCATCGCCCGGTGCGGACCGGGCGCCGGGCTGCGGCGGGTTCGAGGGTAAAAAGCGATGCAGGCAACCGCGCGCCCGCCGCACAAAAAGAAAAGCTAAGGGTGTATAGCAGAGCCGCGATATACCCTCTCCACAAACAATGGTTTTATTTTTTTGCTTCATGCAAGCCGCTGTTCCCCTGCCCAATCCCCATGTTTCTGGCCTGTTTTGAGCAACCCTCGCTTCCCACTTTTACACTTTGTTGGCTCTGTAACCCCTCATCTGGTGTCTCTCGTGGATCTTCGTGGGCGGCACGAGTGCCAATAGCTGCATGTTTGCAAGGCGACTGGGTTGCAGAAGCTATGGATCATCTCTGGCCCTAGCTCAACCTCTCCCATGAAGCAAGTGGTGATTCGTGGGAGTCTCTGAACAAACACATATAGCTCGTTGATCGTGTCCATAGCTCCCGCGGACGATAAGGCGACAGACAGGGTGGTGTCAGCATCCATGCGTTTGTCGTTGATGGCTTGCAGCCCGTCGAGTGGAGACAGCTACCGCGCCCTCCTTGACTGGATGTCTATGTTCCATAATATCTGTAATTCCTCATGCAGTCAGACGCTTTGATACACACAAAAGGAGGATTACTCGCTGAGCTTCGTGTCGTACGGGTGCTCCCTCGACTGCTGCATGGCCCCCGCCCTCCACTCCGGGCTGCTCTTGTGATAGTGTCGGAGCCCTGTTTTCGTTATCCGCGGTAGGATCGAGTGGTCTCAGCATCATGCCTTGAGGTTATGCGGACTGTCTGCAAGCAGGAGGCTCAATTTGCTGGCAATGCGGCCATTCCGGTGTGGAGATATTATACGCAGTCGGTCAAGGAGACGTTTTGAGGTCAGGGTTGTGTTTGGGTACTATGCGAAGTGAGGATCTCAACCTACCTTCGGGAAGTAGTGTCGAGCTACCTGCAACTGCCCTGAGATCGCTCGCGCATAGCACTCTCGGTCAGCTATAGGTGTCATACTCCATACTCCAAGGAGAAGCGACTCATTGGTATGCCAACATTCACATGGCAAGTCCAGACCCTTCGCGGGCGTTATTTTGCAGATCGATCACGGAGGTGACTCAGCCTGCTATTCAGCTTGATTGTAGCATAGTGTTTGTTCCGTCGTGGAGCTTCTAGATTTCGTCAATTTTCAATTTCTTAGAAAATCGCTGAAATTCTAAGTGGCCGTAAAGTTCCTTCAAAGTCGATCAGTTCCGCAAAGAGGTAGAGAACGATACACCGCACTGAGTCGTACGTGGACAGCAGCGGGCCATACTGGGTCTGACTTTGACAGGACCACCTGGAGAGGGCCGCCGCACGAGACCTCGCGGGCAGTATCTGCGCCAAATGTGGCATCTTTAGCCCCATGCCAATTTCTTGTCCAAGCTCCGACCCTGCTCATGACCCTCCAGGGACGAGTTCGAACAGAACGACACATCGTCAAAGTCGCTTAGTCCACCTATGTCGCATCTGGTGGGCTATGTTCAGTGTGTTCTGGGCCGGTCCGTGGTCTCGGGACCGAAAGGGCGGCCGCTAGCATTTGTGACGGGAGGCAAAGTCCCAAAACGGCGCCGTCTCCGGGTCGGCAAGCGACGTCGCATTGCCGATACGGTATGGTGGCCTGATACTGCTGCCCTACGCGATTGTCCATGGGCGCCCCTAGGCTTGCATTTGATCGACCCGGCCCTCCGGGCCCGTCGCTGGCAACCACCCCGGCGACACGTTGCGAAGGTTTCCGTCTACCCCGAGCACAATGGCCGACGGAGGGTGCCGATTCCATGTTGGGGTTCCTGGTCGTTTACCTAGCCCAGTGGGATATCGTATGTTGCTGTCGCACCAGCCGAGTTGAGCGGACCAAGAAGCTCAGCAAACATCCCGTCCTTGTCCCCCGAAACCTTCCTCTGGCCACTTCTGCCGTTTTGCCTTTGGTAGAACCCTTGTCGTCCGCTTTGGCCCTTCTAGCGGGGAAGAGTTTAACAAGTGATTTGAGGGCGACATCGTTCCCCCATTTTTCTCAATTTGCCGTGGAGACTTGATGCTGGGGTGAGCTGCTGGCCTGGTCCTAGATGTCTCCGCCGTCTCGTCATCCCCTCGTCCTGGCACTGAGCCGATCACGACGGTTCGCACCTGTCAAAACGGTGAAGTGGAGGCCGCGGTAGGACACTTGCTCGTATGATGCCAGCGAGTCAGCCGAATGATGTCAGGTCGGGAAGTTTGCGCCGGATGGTTGCGATTTCTTCTTCCAGAATTAGTCACCGGGATCTTAGTGAAGGTTGGCCGATGGCACCATGCCGGCAGTCTCCCCCGCAAACTCTCGGCAACGGCTCCAAGAATCATCAGGAACTCAGGTAGTCGACAATCCGGGCGCCTCGGATTACTGGGTCGGCGGGCGCACATTCAGTTTCGCAACGTGCGCTCCAAGGACCGGCCGCCCACAGCTATCCAGGATGTGCCAAGGAGCCGCTGCTCCGGGCTTCGGACCTTAATTAGACGGGGTCGGAGGGGTGCCTCGTCGTCGGTCGAGGATCAGAGAAAACGTTGCAACTCCTTCAATGGTCAGCAAACCCCTTACCCAGAACCAGGGTATTGGGTGCCGCGTCGGACCCAGAGTAAATGTCAGAGTTAGTAAACCTCCGCTTTGCTACACTGGCGGCCGACATTGGTGACAGACATGCAACATGACAAGTTTGCTGTCAACTCTCAAGTTCTCGACCGCCGATCGATGGAGCGGAGTGGCACTAGTGAAGGTGGGAGATTGCTTCGCTTTGACATAAGGTCAGGGCTCAATGATCGGGATCCAGAAAACTGCCTAAAAACTTCTTTGAATATTCCCAAAGAGCTCTAGATTCAGCTGGTGAAGGCCTATGCCCAGCCGGAGATGTCCTTGATCGTCCAAGTCGAGACGAAAGAGGTATTCAGAGCAATCGAGTCGGGGTACAAATTTCCGAGACGAGATGTTCAGGAGATATGGGAAGTCAATGGAGGCTCCACGCCGCTAGGACTCGATCCATGCAAGTAGGACGGCCGTTAGACTAACCAAAATTGAATCCTGGAAGCAGCTAGGTTGCGGGTGTCGTGCAGCGATGGGAATATCCGGCTTTCAGAAGGTCGATATGTTGGTGGGCCATTTGCGAGTGATGCTGAATTGAGGTGACATGTCGGCAGTTGGGTGTGACGAAGCGGCGGGGCGAGTGTTGGTGCGACACTCGCGGACAACGTAATCTCGTTGTGTAAGTGGAGGAAGGTATTCCCGCTTGTGAGAAAAACCGGCTCCTGACATCTGTGCAAGCATTGAGACTGAAAGCGCGATTGAGCAAGGGCCAACATAACTCCTGAGTACATGTGCTAAGTACTCCTAATGGAAGATTATGACTGAGAGTACGTTCGTTACGGAGCATTCTTGCCAATAGGCGAGTTACGCCAGCTATCACACCTGCAACTGCCCGATGTTGTCTTTCTTCCAAGCACTCGATATCCTGTCGAGCTTATGGGAAGTTAGGAGGTCCATTCTCTCAACATTGAGCAGGTGGCTGGTGCTGCTGTGGTGAACACGAAGCAACAAGACCAAACCATCGCGACAGATGACGGGCGACAGCTTCATACTTACTCAAGGTAAAGTGCATCGAAACACACGCTTGTATGCAAACTTCCAACTCTCACATTTCTTTCGTCTTCCCCTGTTCGCTTTCTTGGGCACAGGTCCTCTCGCCTTTACATTCATAAGAACCCCTCACTATCTGCTTGGGTTTCGTCATGACACCAGTGTCGCTTCCTCTGAAACCACAACCTCTGCAATTACCTCGAGTGTTCCTACCGATATTTCCAGACCCCGAGACTCCCACGTTAGACAACCTATGACCTTCCATGTGTAGGCACCTCAAGGTAAAGAGGCGAAGATTGCCGATACGGTGACATGCTTGCCTTCCGTCGTTTCGAAAATTTGGCGGCTGCTTCCTTCACGGCCAAACCTGCTATCTGACTGGTTTTGCTATCTGGAGATATGGCTACCTCAAGTTTAACTACCATCCTGGAAGCTGAACTTTCTGACAACAACGTCAAAGTAGCCATGCCAAATAAAGTCGTCAAATGAAGTAAGCCGGATCTCGTCGCCTACAATAATACAGCCCACGCTCGCAGATATAACTACCCTAGCTGCAGTTATATCGAAATCGAGAAGCATGGCCTCATTGGTGACCCGAATTCCAAAGTAGACGGACTCTGGCGGTGCGCGCTCACACGTATTCACATGTCGCCATGTTTCCCCAAAACAATTTAACCGAAGCACACGATCTCGAAGAGCCTCGTACTCCAGCAGAGGATCGGATTGAGAGCGTTGTCATTCTTGTGGTATCGGTTTTGTCACTTTGCGGTGCTGGATTCATCATGACAAGCTATTGGGTCAACCCCGATTCCAAATCATTTAGCGATTTCTATCAAACTGACAAGGAGCTCAGATTTTCCCGAACTTACGATCTTTCCGCCACCGTCTTATCATCGGACTCGCGATAAGTGACTTCCTCATGGCTTTCAACTTTCTCTGTTCAACGGCAATGAATCTTAGCGGCAGACTTATCAAAGATCCTCAACAGGCCAGCTTTTGTAGCCTCAATGGCTTCATGGCCCAGGTCTTCGTCATTCAAACCGACTACTGGGTCTTGACCATTGGTGTTTGCACGTTCTTCATCTTGGCTGGCCAAAAAAAGCGAGCAAGCTGGGTGCAAAGCCACGAAGTCATCATCTGGGGCCTTCCATGGATTTCCTCGGTTTTATGGGCATCTATAGGCCTCGGAGCGGCCGGCTACAAGAGCATTGGGGCTTGTGAGTATTTATGGCCATGGCGAAAAGCTCACAAAGTACTAACCCCTGTGGACAGGGTGCTGGTTCAAGTCAGACAAAGTCAGGTTGCTCGCCAACTTCGTTCCTCGATGTGAGTTAGGCACGATACTGAAGGCGAGGAATCTGGACTAAATCCATTCTGTAGGGATTATCATCATCATCATGTTTGCACTTTATGCATATCTCGCCCTTGTCATTTACAGGGCCCACAACAGGTTAAGCTCAATGCAGGAATCTCCTGGGCATATGGAATCTGGGTACTCGACTCAAGACGGCAGCCGGGCAGCAAGTACTCACGAGGGGCTTGAAGGCCGATCCATGGTTTCCATTCGAAGGCTCAAAAGGGTAATCAACTTCATGCCTCACAACGTAGAAGAGACAGACACTAATCGCGATCCAGATTGCTCGCCTGTTGCTTTTGTATCCGCTTGCTTACGCTGTCATCTGGTCCCTCCCAACCGCCATCCGGATATACCAGGCAACAACGAACAAGTCGGCACCATTCGCATTGCAAAACATCGACCAAGCCTGCATCGTGGTTCAGGGGCTTGTCGACGCCGTAATCTACGGTATGAACGAGACTTCAGTAGCAAGCTAGCGCACTTGTTGCTCACGTCGAGGTTTTCCTACCGTCCAAGGGATAGAAACTCGAGGCCCGGACATCGCCTCACCAGACATCACCAGGGAGCGATCCGCTCGATCCAACGACAGGAGAATGCGAGGAACCACGCTGTCTAGTTCCGAGCTGGCCGAGGTCGACAGAGATGATGGATTAAGCTCGGTTGAGCTGAGAGACTTGAGGGCGTAGGCTGCCCCGTTGGGAGTGGAGGGTTCTTCTTCGAAGGACTTGGGTAGTTCAGATGGGGGCAGTTGACAGCCAACGACGCCCCTCGCCTGTGCGAGTCCCTAGAGCATTTATCGATGGAACAAACTTGCTTGGCACGGCGAGCATAGCGACGAGGTCATGGGCGAAGGGGAGGTTTTGTACACTATCAATATTGTGGTACGAGACCACTTCCTCGGGTCGCCGCCAGTATGCAGGGCATATCCATCACAGTGCAGGGATTGAGGGCAGTCTCTTGAGTAAAAGGGTGGTATCAATATCTCATTGCTAGCTCATGTCCTCTAGGGACTACTACGTCACGACGCATTCATCGTGACTTCATTATCGACCACTTATCCATCGTGAACACTTACACGCCCATAATCATTTCTTATACTACGTGCTTAGTGCTTGGCACCACCAGTCTGCTCCGCAGTAGAAGCAGCAGGGACATCCTTTGCAATCTTGGACTTCTTGACCAGACGCAGGCCACCGATGAGCATAACGAGGCCGAGGAAGCCCAGGATAACAACCAGTGTCACCAGCGCGCCAATGACGCCCGCCACGGGGGTCGAGATGCCTCCCTTGCTGCCGCTCGAGCCGGATCCGTTGGCGTCGGTGCTGCCGTCCAGACCCAGGGCCGTGGCGCACGTGCCGGTCGAGTTGCCGCAGGCGGTGCACCAGGTCTTGGTATCCTCGACGGCGAACTTTTGCATCTCGGTGACGAAAGTGTTCCAGGGCAGCACGGTCTCGGATTGGCCAAAGAGGGGGTAGACTGTGAGATTGTTGATTCCCGCGGAGCCGTTGGCGAAGCGGAAGCGGACGGCGACGTCGTCGGCGGCGGGGCTGGCGGAGGTGGCGTTCGTGACGAGCTCGAAGACCATGGAGGAGGCGTAGTCCACTACGGTCTGGAAGTCGGCCGAGACCTTTTGCAGCTGGGCGAGGCCGAAGAAGGAGGAGAAGCTGGCGTAGGCGCCGAACTGGATGTTGGCCTTAACGGAGGAAGATTTGGCGGCGTCCTTGAGCGTCGCGTTAAGGGCCAGGAGGATCTGGCCGGCCAGCACCTTGCCGGCGATGGCGCGGATGGGGTCGCTCTCGTTGTAGGCGAGGTTCCACTCGTGGATGTTGGCGTAGTCGGTCAGCGAGCGAACGGTGGCGTTGGTGAGGAGGGAGTCTGAGGGGATGCTGTCGTTGTGGATGCGGGCGACGTTGATGAGGTCGAAGATGGCGTAGGCGTTCTCGAACGTGGCGGCCTTTGCGCCGAAGGTGCCGTTGATGACGGGCAGCAGGTTCTGGTAGAAACCGCGGGACTCGGTGTCGACGGCGGCGTACTCGGGCGAGGAGAAGTAGTTGTTTGAGCTGACGACGGCCTTGCCGCAGCCGCTGCCGCCCTGGAGCCACTCGCTGCTCTCGGCGTTCGTGCTAGTGGAGGCCGTGGAGACGGCGTTGACGGGGATGTACTGGTATCCGCCGAGGGGCGCCTCGACGCTGGAGCCGTTGGCGAGGGCCTCGATGGTGCCGGAGGGCGGGTAGAAGCCCTGGAGGAAGGCGTTGGCCGAGGACTGGAGGACGACGTCGATGGGGGAGGTGACGGAGAGCTGTTCCGGGAGGACGTCGTCGGTGCTCATGTTGCGGATCTGGTGGGTGGCGTTGTCGCGGACGTAGAGCCGGCCATATTCCAGGCCGGAGGTGTAGACCTCGTAGGCGCCGAGGTCCGTGAAGCGGACGGGGGGCGTCTTCTTTGCCGTGCGGTCACCGTGACGGTGGAAGACGTAGATGCCGAGGACGGTCTCTGCGGCCGCGGGCATGATGGGCAGGCCCATTGCCAGAAGGTGCTTGAGTCCCATACTTGCGAAGTGTTTTCGGACTCTGCGAGAGTGTTAGTTCTGTTGTTGCTGCTCTTGTCCTCTGATTATTCGGTTTCATATGTGCATATAATCAACAAGCAGAAGCCACTACTTACTCGATATTGCCCAGTTGAACTATCAGCGGCGTGCTATATACAAACTCAGTACTGCCGAAGTGTGAAAACGGCTGATGAGATGAGATTGAAGCCGAGTTGCAATCCCTGCAATAAAGATACAATAGAGACGACGGTTTAAATCAACCTCACGGGAGCTGAAGAGACTAGGACGATCGGGTGTCGCCTCGACGCCTCTCGCGAAGCCGGGTACCGCCGGCCCTTTTATGTCGCGACCGACAGTCGGACTCTTCGACGCGTCAAGAAGTTAGAGTCACCCTCAAAGAAATCCTGCAGCCCACACATGGCCCAGCGACAAATGTTCCTTCCATTCCTCCTCCCCAGTACCCAGCATGGTTCGACCCGCTTGCTCGCTCCGGACCAGTCGATGGTTGGCGATAAAGGAGGGGTAAAAGGAAAGGGTTCGAATAAAAAACGTACTAGGCCCATGGATCAGCACCAGCCGGGCCAGGTCCTATCACTCTGCAGTTCAAAAAGTGCGATTTCACTGCAACGATGGGCGGCGAGAGCGGGTGAGTCTTGCTGCTCGTCCGCATGGCTGGCGACGGCGGGAATGGATGGATGCCACCACCATGCCACTCACGACTGTCTGCCATTCGTGTGGCCAATGAGCCAAGCTGTTCCTGATGGCCCCGCCTGAGGTGCAAGCTATCACCTGCAGGTCGAGGGATGTGGATGCCGGCTTGGCTCGAAAAGCTTGAGTGCGCCGCACCCGGTCCGGTCTTTGGAGGACGCTAATTAGTTGGCTTGGTGACCGACACGTTGAGAAAAAATGTGTGTTCGGAGGGGGCAGCTTTGCAGCAGCATCTCCGCTCCCGTCCGCGGGGCGGCTCGGCCTGTCAGCGGCTGGGAAGTACGTGTCTAGCCTGGGTAGGATTATGGTGCCGATAGCCGCTTTGCTCAAGAACTGAAGGTTATGGTTGATAAAACGTAAGGTAGGATTGTACAAAATGCTAAAAGATCCTAGTTATTTCTGAAAACGACTGTTGGTTCGTTCAATACATTGCCATTCCCTTCGGTTCTTCGAATATCTAACAAGCTCTGAGCGGGTCAACAACCACGCCCTTGCGATGTCAACTTACAATCTCCATTCTCTCCACCCCCGGTCGTTGGATTTTCTTTGTCCGCGGACTTGCTGGAGGTGATCCTTCCGACCCCACCACAGCCGATTTCCCTGTGCCAGTTACAACTTCGATTCCGTTTTTCGGCCGCTCTTCACGTGCTTCGAAATTTCTCCCCTCAAGAGGAAATCCGGGTATCTCATGTCTTCATCTGTTCCAACTGCTAGCGCACCCTGGCGTCTCCAGGCACCGCCATCAACAGGAATTGCTTGACCGTTGACGAAGCTGCCGGCGTCGCTGAATAGATAAACGGTGGAATCGGCAATGTCCCGGATCACGCCCCACCGACCCTGCGGCACCACGGCGTCGGCCTTGGCCTGGTCTTGCTTGCTGCTGGACAGCCGTTGCATGCCTTCCGTATCCTTGATCGGCCCGGGGGCAATCACATTGCTCGTGACTCCGAACGGACCGTACTCCAACGTAACCGAGGCCATGAGAGCGTCAACGGCCGCTTTGGCGGCTGAGACGTGTGCTTGCAGCGGCATACCTGTCCAGTGGAATGTGGCAGAGACGAAAATGATGCGGCCTCCAGTCAGTCCGTTTTGGCTGGGCGTAGGGTTGTTCTTTGCCGACTCTACCAGGTAGGGAATGGTAGCCTTCAGAGTGTTGAAAGTGCCCAAGACATCAATATCGATGACCGCCTTGAACGCATTAGGGCTCATGCCGGACAAGGGTGCGATGAAGTTGCCAGCAGCTCCCGCACTGTCGGTAAGGTTGTCAGTGTCAGCAGTCTGCCCCAGGATTGAGACCCTTGTGAATCGGGTGCTTACATGACAAAGTCGATGCCGCCGAGCTCCTTGGCGCATCGATCTGCGGCGTCTTGCAGGCTCTGAGGCTAGATACGAATTGTCAGCTGCAACGTCTCTGGAAGCGAAAGGTGTTGATGAGCACATACATTTCGCACATCACAACCGCCAATACCGATGACCCTTGCACCAGGCCTAGCGGTGGCTATGTCCTTGGCCATGGACTCTGTCTTTTCGACATTGCGGCCGATGATGCAGGCATTTGCTCCGAGACGGACAAGAGCACGAGTTTGAGCACTGCAAATGCTTCCAGCGCCGCCGGTGACAAAGGCGACTCTGTTGTCTACATAACGCAGTTAGTCTCTACGAGGGCCCAGCAAAGAAAAAGATGCCTGGAAGCCACTTACTAAAGATGCCGTCCTTCCAAACCGGACTCAGGTACTCGGACTCGGGAATAGGCATGTTTGCAGGGACTAGATGTGGGTGATGAGGGACAGAGAAGAGACAATGAACAAGGTATCACAAGTGGTTCAAGATGATGACGTGTGAGACCTGTTTCCACGAGATTAAGGCGATAGATTCGGATTGTTTGGGTACCCTGACGATGGAGGTTCTGTGGATCCTTTGGCTGCACGAAGATATCGGAGGTTGCACGAATCTCGAAGCTATATGTCACACGAGGAAGAAGAAACCAAAAGAGTCCGGTTGGTACGATGTCTTGTTGTTCAACGGCCACGGCAAAGCGCAGCTCAGATGGCAGCGGTGGTAGCGCGTCGGACCTTGGGACCTCGGCAACGGAAGGTAAGGAAGGATACACAAAAGTGCGGAGCCTTCCGCGGCAACTCAAACCCAAATGATTAGTTATTCCGCTGCTGACTCATCCCGAGCGAGGTCCCAATCACGGGGAAAGACCCAGGCACACAGGTTGGGGAAGGAGCTGCTGATTGGTGGGTGGTGGAGAACAGAGAAAAGAGAGAAGCAGCTCTCTGAGCTGCTCCTTCCAGCCTCCAAACGCACCTAACCCTCCCGCACGGGGCCTAATTTAGCGCGATTTCCTCATGTCGCTCCCGGGATCAACGACCGTCTCCCCGTGAACACCTTCCCCAACCATCCCTTTCAAACCGGGCAGGCTCTCCAATGCCACGCCCCCTCATGTGTTGGTTGCCTCTATCATCTATGAATTGCTTGTTGAAACCGTTGGTTTGAATCATGGTCGAGGTCACACGCTCATAGCTTCAGTCCATTCTGAATGACATGTCATTTGACATCGAAACCTAGAAGACTAGAACCCGCAATGTCTCGGCTCTGCAACTTTTTCAACATTCGTGTCCCAAGGACGTGGCGGCGGTAATCTCCTCTTCGAGAACCGTGTAATTGGTTTATGGGCGCATACTGTGATCGAGATTCTTCGCTACGGGGGAAAACAATAATGGCAGACGAATATCCGCGCCTATCAACTGGTGCTTTCCCGTCCCCCTCTGTGTCCGGTAGTGACAAGAGCGATACCCGCCACGTCGCGTGATCCGAAACGAGAATATGTGAACGTATCCTGTCGCAACATCGCCTCTTCACACGCCTACATATGCAACGGCTTGTATACGCGGCTCGGCAGAGTGAAATGGTTGGGTATCACAGGGGAACGTACCCCCAGTACTGATCCGCCAAGCACCCACAGGGCCTGCGAATGTCGTATATCCAACCTATGGATCTCATTGCAGAAATCATACGTCCGAGAGTGACCTTTCGGGAAGCAGGAAATCCGTCTCCACGAGCAAACTGCATCTGTGCCGCCAACATGCAGGACATATTCCCAGTCAAAGAGAGGGGTAAAATGAGTGCCCTGAAAACTCATAAAAGTCGCGAGACAGAACCGGGAGAATGCAGAATCAGTTTCTTCAGCATTGAGCAAATTCGCAAATTGTCAACAGGCATCTGTCTGAGATCTTGCAATGAGTAACGCTGAGACCGATCGTCCCACGGTCGCAGGCCCGGTCATCGTCGCTGAAGAAGGGGTAAAATAACTTGAGCCCCGCGGTAGACTGTGATTCTAACAACTTGACTAGCATTGGGATGACAGTTCTTCAGACCATGGATCTGTAGGTGACGCTTCTTATTGTTTGACTTCGCTCCCGCAAGCACTGCTAATATTTCATGTCAGAGCTTTGCCTCGTCGACCACCAGCCTGAACAGCTCCATCTTCCAACATCGACTTGAAAATGGCAGAACTTACCACAAGTACAAAGATGGCAGTAAGACGCCGACCATGAGGCTCATAGGTTGCAAGCAGTGTGAAGTCTGACATGTACAGAATACCATTGGCCAAACGACGAGAAAGAATCCGACAGACTGGGTATGCGCCTCCGTCTGACCACTTGTCTGGTGACGCCGTCTAACGCTACTATCAGATCTGCAGCATAATTTGTTTCTTCTAACTTTCCACTACAAGCTGGGTCTCGCTCCGCCCAGCGCCCCAGATTCTGGGGTCAAGCGCGTTCTCGATCTTGGTACTGGCACCGGTCTTTGGGCGATCGAATTTGCAGATGAGCACCCTGAAGCCGAGGTAAGCGAAAGAATGCTTTTCCTGCTCACAATTGATACATGTGCTTATTTAAAGCTTAGGTTTACGGCGTTGATCTCTCGCCTGTTCAGACCTCAGCGTACGTTACATATGTCTCGGGTGTCTGAAGCTAGTTCCCAGCGCTCAATATTGACCCATTGCAGAATTCCTCCCAACACCAAGTTCGAGGTCGACGATATTGAGGAGCCATGGACGTACCATGTGCCTTTCGACTATATCCACAGCAGAATGATGACATCCAGTATTTCCGATTGGGTCAAGCTTTTCAAACAAGCCTTTAAGTAAGTCGAGGCTGAAGATTTAGAAGATCTAAACTAAGTCGATAGGCACCTCGAGCCTGGCGGATATCTGGAAATTCAAGAAGGCGATCTTCACCCTCATTGTGATGACGGCACCCTCAAGCCAGACCATGCAATTGAGAAGTGGTTGAAGCTTCTCGGTGAGGCCATGGAGATTTTTGGAAGACCTTTTGTGGACATCCCTGGTCTCGTAGCAGTCATGGAAGAAGTCGGATTCGTTGATGTGACCATTGAGACATACAAGTGGCCTGTCAACGAATGGCCCAAGGACCCTCACTACAAGGAGATCGGGGCATGGACGCATGCCAACTTCATGGAAGGTCTCGAGGGCTGGACATTGGCGCCCTACACCCGGGCGCTGAACTGGACGAAGGAGGAGGTCTTCGTCTTCCTGGCGGAGGTGCGGTCCGAACTGAAGAACCGGAACATTCATGCCTACTGGCCAATGTGAGTTTCATCGTCTGCGTGTTTTGGACCGAAGTGATTGGTGCTAACATGGGGGAAAGCTACTCAATTTACGGCAGGAAACCTGGAGAGAAGAAGAAGGCGACCACGACGACGGAGGAGCCAGCGACGCAAGAGTGATAAACGACTTTGAAGCGAGCAGTTTTCTATCTAGACATGAGCAATTGAAAGAGCCTATAATTCTCTCTAATAATGTGGCTCGAAATGAAGCCTGTCTATTCGTCATTTCGCGAATGGGAAAGCTGCGTCGACTCAAATTTGTTCAAAGCAATGAAAGACGAAAAGACAAATTCTGAACAATGAATCTTTGAATACATCATCAATTTCGAGCGGCAAAAACTATGGTAAGTCGTCAACTTGGGGGGTTTTAGAGGAATCAGATAGAGACAACCCGATCTATAGTACGGAATGAAATTGACTCCGCTTGACCTACTGTGTTCCTGTGGACCTTCCACGAGTTGCCTCACGGAGCCCTCAATCCAATTATCGCAACGGCTCAAAATCGTTGCTGGAGCGATTGGACGTATCAGGGGTTCTAAGCGAACTGACTTTATCACATATGACCTGTTATTTGAGCTGTCATACCGTACGTGCGTAAAGCAAACTGCATCCATCCTGTTGGAAGCGATCAGTACCCACGTATTTCCCCTTGCCACAGGCCTGCATGCAAATACCTGGCCGAGAAGAGGGGTAGTATTCTCGTCCCACATAGATAAATGGTTCACATCCAGTGGTTTCTCGTGTCGTATTGCTTCCTCTGCGAAGAGTAGAGAGCCCAACATCACAGTCAGCATTCTAAGTTTTGCAGTCAACGGCCAACATGTGCAACGACCAGGCTGCCGTTCCGGCCAACCATGGGCCAGTCATCGTGGCTGATGAAGTGAGAGTGTCGCTCCCATTTTGCGTGAGTATGGTATACTTACAGCTGTTGCAGATCACAGATGATAGCTCATCAGAAAGATTGTCGGTGAGTAGCGATTGACACAGATTTCGCTCTATGAGCGACGCTTGGGCTTAAACTTCTCCTATAGAGTATAGCTTCTTCAACCACGAGCTTATCCAGTTCAATTCTCCAACATCGTATTGAGAACGGGAGGACATACCACAAGTACAAGGAGGGCAGTGCGTGCTACGCCATCTTATCTCTTTCCGTTTTTCGGTATTCTAACAACTTCAGGATACAATTATCCAAATGACGAACGGGAGAATGATAGGTTAGGTACATGTTACCAGCACCCCTTCTTCTTGCACACCTGACCCTGGCGTGAGACAACACTCACACACGACTTCTCCCCCAGATTTTCAACACGAGCTCTTCCTCCTCACCCTTCACGACAGATTGGGGCTTGCTCCGCCGAATGAGCCTAACTGCAAAGTCAAACGCGTACTCGACCTTGGAACTGGTACAGGAATCTGGGCCATTGACTTCGCCGATGAACATCCAGAGGCGCTGGTGAGTATGTCTAGTTGCCGGTGATCCGGTTCAATGATGCTGAAGTGCGCAACAGGTTTACGGGGTGGATCTTTCACCTACACAGACAACTGCGTATGTACCAGCTGCCCGTTATTAAAAGCCGTCCCTGTCATAGGTATTGACGGTCTCCAGTGTACCACCCAACGTCAAATTCGAGGTCGATGACATCGAAGAGCCCTGGACATACCATGAGCCGTTTGATTATATCCACTGTCGTGCAATGACGTCCTCTGTCTCCGACTGGAAGAGGCTATTTAAGCAAGCCTTTGAGTGAGCATTCTCCTTATTTTCACACATACAGTCGACTAACGTCGACCAGCCATCTCGAGCCTGGCGGGTGGTTCGAGATGCAGGAGGGTCACGTCCGACCCTTGTCCGACGATGGCACCTTGACCCCGGAGCATTCCTTGTCCAAGTGGGCGGATTACATCGAGGAGGCCTGCAACATCTTTGGCCGTCCCTTTGCAGATGTGCCGGGCCTTGTGGAGGTCATGAAGGAGGTGGGCTACGTCGACATCACGTACAGCACCTTCAAGTGGCCCATTAACACTTGGCCGAAGGACCCGCATTACCGGACCCTCGGCCAGTTCAACCATGAAAATTACATGGACGGGATCGAAGGTTTCACACTTGCGCCCTTCACCCGGGCTCTCGAGTGGACTCGGGAGGAGGTCGATGTCTTCCTCATCGGTGTTCGTAACGATCTGAGAAACAGGCACATCCACGCGTATATTCCCATGTAAGTGTTGTCAACCCACTATGTTGCTGCCTCGGATGTTCTAACAGTCAACAGTCAGTTGGTGCATGGACGTAAACCTGGGGAAACGCCATAGACTGACTGAGGGGCATGGTGAATACACCGTGATAGCTGAATGAACTTCGAAAGACTGAAAAGCTCATTGCAAAGGAAGAGGGGAATGGAGGGCTTTCAACACAAGACGTACCCCTAGAATCGTATCCTGTCAGACACTTGAAGGCCCACATAATGTCTGCGAAGAACTCTGAATTGGGTCATTCGTTGTCTCTCGAACTAATGCAACGGCCCAAAGCCGCGGTCCTAGCCGGCTATTCGCAATCTGCAACTGAAGATACAGACAACCGAACGGTCTCCGATGATTCGCCACAATTTCGACTCCTACTGCTTTTGTCTTAGAGGGGGCATTGGCAGTTGGTTGTGATACGCTCAATATCCTTGCTCGTTGGAAGCTGGCTGTCCCCACGAGCAAACCGAATCCTTGCCACCAACGGTCCAACATTGCCAACATGCATAATTGTCTCCATTCTAGAAGAGGGGTAGCATTCGTTGGTTTCACAGAGGGAATAAATGATGGCTCGTGCCGTCGCCGTCGGTTCGTCACTTTCCAAATCTCGACGGACTCCCAACTGTGAGCGGCAGACTAGAATCGCTGAATCGACCACTCAACTACACCAAACAATTGTGTCGGAACTCATATCGTAATGTCGGGGAATCCTGCCAGCCCCGCGCCTCCCGCGCCTACTGATGGTCTCAGTCCAACCAACCCTGCGCCTGAGGATGGTCCCATTGTAGCAGCGGACGATGATGTAAAGTACCGTCTGGAGTTTATGTTCTCCGGTGCTAACATGATCACAGCTCACCGATGACACCTCATCCGACAGGGCAACTGTAGGTTTTAGTTCATTTCTGAAAGTTCTCACGGAAATTGGAGGAATCTAATTCGACCAGAGTATTGCGTCTTCGAGCACGAGTCTAGCCAGCTCCATTCTGCAACATCGCATCGAGAATGGACGTACGTATCACAAGTACAAGGACGGCAGTAAGTTTCACCGCTTGCCGAAACCCAAGCGCGATGATATTAATAAAGACCAAGAATACCCGTTCCCGAACGACGAGAAGGAGAGCGACAGACTCGGTATGTCACGTTTCTCATGCGTGTGCACGTAGCCGTCTCACTGACATGCTTCCCCCCAGATCTTCAACACAACATCTACTTGCTCACCCTCAACTACAAGTTGGGCCTGGCTCCTCCGAACGACAATCTCAAGGCTCAGCGTGTCCTTGACTTAGGAACTGGAACCGGGTTGTGGGCTATTGATTTTGGTGATGAACATCCCGAAGCCGAGGTGACTAAAGATTCATGTACTTGTACACTTGCATGAGCCACGTTGCTGACTTGATCCTACTAGGTGGTTGGAGTTGACCTCACCCCGGTGCCCACTGCATTGTGCGGCTTTTCTAAATGTGGTATTTTCGGTTTAGCATGTTGACTAACTTGTGCCTAGTGTTCCGCCGAACGTCAAATTTGAGGTCGATGATTTTGAGGAGCCCTGGACGTACAGTCAACCTTTTGACTACATTCACATTCGCGGGCTTTCCGGTAGCGTTGATGACTGGGGAGAGTTTTTCAAAAAGGCTTACGAGTAAGCAAAGTTTTCATGTCTTTCTCAACTTGTCAGTCTAGCCCTTGGATTGACTAACTGACTTACCCGTAGTCATCTGACGCCCGGCGGCTACATCGAGCTGTTCGAAGGGCACATGAGACCCGACTGTGATGATGGAACACTAACTTCGGAGAGCGCTCTAATGAGGTGGGTAGACAAGGTTGAAGAGGCCTCCAAGATCTTTGGCCGCCCTTATATCGACGTTCTCGGCCTGGTACCTCATCTTAAGGAGGCAGGCTTCGTTGATGTGGAAATAGTAAAGTATAAGTGGCCCGTCAGCCCCTGGGCCAAGGATCCCTATTATAAGGAGCTTGGTGAGTGGTGTCTCGAGAACTTCATGGAAGGCCTCGAGGCCTGGAGCTTGGGTGCCTTCACGAGGGCCCTCAACTGGACCAAGGAGGAGGTTCAGGTCTTCCTTGTTCAAGTCCGAAATGAGTTAAAGGATAGAAGGATACACGCGTATTCGCCTCTGTAAGCCCCCCTAACGCCCGCTCTGGGGCTTTTATGTCTGAAGACTATCTAATCCGGAACAGCTGGGTGATTTACGCGAGAAGGCCGATCGAGAAGGAGGAGTGAAGAAGTCAAGACGCATCGGTGGCCTAGCTTTCAGGGAAGAGCGTGCTGGAGCAATTTAGTGGGCCAAGTGAGTTCGTTTAGAGCGATCATCGAATCGCGTCGACAACATTATAGGGTTTCTTTCTTTCATAGGGGCGCGTCTTCTGGTGACCCAAATGGTCAGTTGTCTCGAGCATCTTTCGGCTCCCGTCAAAGTCGGCGCTAAATCGCCTCCATGCCGTGATAAAACTCCTTTTCCGTTGAACGAGTTAAGGAAGGAAGATGCCAATTTGATCCTGTGAGCAGAAAAAGAAAACTTCTCATGTTCTTGATGATAAGCTAAGGACAGATAAGGGGACGTCGCTGTGCCTTCCATCGATATTTATGCCGAAATATACAGACGTTTGTGCAACCTCGGGCCAGCTTCGGGACTAATGCAAGGCGCACGGATAATTTAAGCTCATGGTACCCCATACCGTCACCGGGAGACTCCACCACAGGTACCCACACAAAGTTCCGGCCAACCAGATCGCCGCCAAACAAGCAAAGGAAACAGTCAGCCCCTCTCTTTTTTCAAAGGACTTATTCCCGCGCGAAAGAGCGGCAAGCGGCAAGGCGGGAAACGTCAGGTCGTCAACAAGCGTCAGCGTTAATCAAGTCAATTCAATCCGGCCTTTTCCACCTCCCCAAAACATCTTACCGTCCTGTGACGCCTAACTGGTCAGGCCGGAAACCATCTACCCCCAGCCCAGGTCAGATCAGGCACTCAAGTTCCCAGTCCAACAAAGAGTGATACCGCCCCTCCCCGCCCCGCCTTCCCGGTCAGCAGCAGCACCACCAGTAAGGCCGTACCTAAGCAACGACCCGACCGACCGACAGTTTGACGACACATCCCATACCGACCTCACATCTCACGAACTTCGACCTTACATCCTTTCCCGCCCCATCGATCACCCACCTCCAACGCCTCTCCCCGAACCTCCTACGAATTCCCGCACCAGCCACCATGGCTTCCAAAGGAGTTTCCCTCCTGAAGTTCGTGGGAACTGTTTCCCTCGGTCTTCTGACTGTACGTTTCACCGCTCTCCCAGCGTGCACACAGCTCGGTTCACTGTCGGACCATCATCAGTGACGCCACTATCCCCGTTCCCCATCCACCCCTCCCCCCTCCACTCCCCGCCTTCAGGACTCCGAGATACCGACCCAACCTCCACCTCATCACAAAATGCTTCGCCCAAATCGTCCTCTACATACACTAACATCTTATGCGCGCAATAGGGCCTCTCCTACTCCCTCTCAACCGTAACAGTCCCCTCGATCCTCTCCCTCCCCTCCGCCTCCGACGCCCTTCGCGCCTTCAAGAACCTCTACCCAAGCGCGACCGCCCGCCTCCGCCTCCTCACCGGCGTATCCGCAACCTCCTTCCTCCTCGCCTTCTTCCTCTCCCCGCGCGCTTTCCGCCACCCCTACCTCGTCTACGCTTCCGTCCTCACACTGAGCTCCGGGCTCGCCGAGCAAATCACCCCCTACGTCCTCAAGAGCAACCCCTCCTCCTCCAAGGAATCCATCGCCGCCCGTCGCCAGGCCGCCCGCGAGCGCGAGCAGAAGCGCAAGGCCGCTCGCATCGCGCGCCAGGAGGCTCGCATGGAGGCCAGCTACGAGGTTCTCGGCGACACCCACAGCGACGGCGCCGGCAGCGCGAGCGGCGACGAGTCCTCGGCTGCGGCTGCTGAGGCGGAGGAGGAGGCGCTTAACGGCGAGGAGATCCGCGGCGAGGTGGACGGTTTCAGAAAGACGCAGCTCGTGCAGTCTGCCGTTGCCTCGGTCGGCTTCCTGCTGTCCGTCATCGGCATCTGGGGTGATGGTGCCATTCAGGTCTTCAAGACCGAGACTGTGATTGTCGGTGTATAAGAAAGACGTAAGGCGGATGTTGAGCGGAGTAAAGGGGTTGGTTGAGTTGTACTCAAGTCGTGAAATTGTTGCTGTTATTGCGCATAGGAAACTTTGAGATTGCGTGGACGGGAAACGATGCCACACACTACACTATACTAGTACTGCTTACCAGAGAGAAAGCTGTCATACTCGTTACATATTATCCTCTACTATACCGGCCTAATCGGAGACCGGATAACATGGCAAAATTCACCATTAAACCTAATCTACTTGTCAAGGTTACACGGTCGTTTTGTAGCGTAATGCTCTGCCTCCACGGCCAAGTCCCGTTATTTCATACCTCGTTGAAGCGTTCTGGCTGGCATCCAGCCCTCGGCCCTGTGGTGTTTCCCATTTCATGCTCCCAGATGGGTAGCACGCCTTGGAATGGTCGTTCAAATCCCATTACCAGCTCAAGACTTTAACCTCTCACTACCCGCCATATCGTCCTGCGCATCCTTGATCAGGAAGCTGGGCAAGTGTTAGCAGTCGATCCCGCAAGCCGATCTTAGCGTCACTGCCGACTTACTTGTACATGAGTACCGTTGGCGGAATCGTCCCCAAGTGCCATAAACTGTGTGCATCCAAAGCACCCCATACAGGTGGGAAGTCAAACAGCTCCAGACTCATGACCATGACGACGACTGCGACAACGATACTCGGCCATATAGCCCAGGTCCTCCGTGACTGCCTGTACTTGTTCAAACTGAACCATAACCACATGAGGTTCTGAATCACACCGATCACCACGTTCGCCGTCATGTTATACGTGTAATCCCACCGCACGCCCTTCAGGTAGGCAATGTGCCCGGCGTAAAGCAGCACACACAGCAGCGTCCACGCGCGCAAGACCGACCTCCGGCGCGGCGTCGGCCGGTCCAGGCGCATGATGCGCACTGTAGTATAGTACAGCCCGTACAGCACGCTCGCGCCCGCCGCGAAGTAATCAAGCTGCTCCGTGGCCACAAAGTCGCGGGTGTGGAAGATTGCGCTGAAGGTCCACGAGGCGATGCCCACGCCGGCGAGCCACTCGTACCAGGGCCGCAGCGGGTACGACGCCGGGATGACGGCGCGGAGCTTGCGCCAGCCGTTCTGGTGAGCCCAGAGGTTGCCCAAGCTGAAGAGTGTGCTGGCGGGTTCCTGGATGCCCAGGATCCGGGGGAAGGGCCATTTCCCGTGGAACTGCACCACGCGCTCGCCGGCTGCGAGGCGCTCTTTGGTGATTATGTGTTGGCAGGTGTAGTCGCATTCGGAGGCGCAGGTCCAGAGGAGGAGGCGGCGGTGGAAGGCTGTGTGCAGAAAGTAGTCTGTCAGCTCCTTGTCTGTCATGCATTGTGCGGGTTGTCAGGCGGGGAACGTACGGATTGGTGTAGCATCTTTGCCGGGAGCGCAGTTCTCATCGTGGCAGACCTGGATCGCGGGGGAAGCGCAAAGCAGCATGTTAGTCACAAGAGACTAAAGAGTTTCTCAAGCATTGCTATTCGCGAGCAGCAGCGCGCGCATGCGTGCGTGCGTATTTGTGTATGTGGTGGGCACCAACTTGGACGCATTCTCGGAACTCTGGTAACCGATCACCATATGAGGCTTCGACAGCTACTACGAAGATGAGGATTGCGGTGAGGACTAGGAACAGAGGAGACTTTGTATGTCTCCCCGCTCGTGAGCTGTTCATGGCGTCTGCATCTACCGCTCGGTGGCCGTGTGTGTATGTTCGTCGTTTAGTTGTCTTTCGGAGAGTTGTGTCGCGTGCTACGTGTTTGGAGTGAGGGTTGCTTAGGGCGGGAGGTGGAGGGAGGAAAGTCAACAGGAAGGTAAGCTAAAGGTATCCGTACGGAAACAAGGGACACAAGGGTTCGGAGGTCTCGGACGGCTACTGCCCTGTCACTGCGGGTTACACTGGTCGAATAAAGGTCCGGGTCAAGGTAAGCTCCAGTTGCGCTGGCGGGGAATTCGCCTGCTTAATTGGCCGCGCTTTCCGGGGCCATAAATTTGGCGGGGTTCACTCAATTTCCAATCCAAACAGAAATGCTCTTTCCTTCAGTATCAAATCATGCACCTGTATTGTCCTGTACAGCAACGGTCAAGGTAGTTACAGTCCCATCTCCCTCAATGTTCTGTAATTGCTTCTTGAAGAAGCACCTCTGCAACAGCTGGGCGGTTGCATTCTCTCGCCCGTTCAAGCGCCGTTTGACCTGATAACGTCCGCGCATTCACATCAATACCAGCATCAAGGAGAACCCTAGCTTTGGCATCAGACTCGCGTCCAAAACCCAGGAACATGGCATCCGGGCTGCCCGCCGTCAGATGCAGCGCAGTCTCGCCGTCGTTCGTCGTCGCACTGAGATCAGCCCCGGCCGCAAGCAGAATCCGAACAAACTCGGCATCGCCCCACGCCGCTGCAGCGTGCAACGGAGTCCTTCCTTCATCATCGGTCGCCTCGAGGTCCGCGCCGGCCTCGAGCAAGAGTCCTATCAGCTCCGCCGACCTCGCAGCCGCTCGATGCAGCAGGGTATCGCCGCCCTGACCCTTGGTAGAAACATCGACACCCTTTTCTATGAAAAGTTTGACCGAGGCCGGCGCATCGGAGAGCGACTGAAGAGCGGCCGTGTCTCCGTTGTTATTGAGAGCGCTCATGTCGGCGCCTGCATCGAGAAGCACCTGGACCACACCGAGGTGCCCGCGGCTAGCGGAATGATGCAACGGCGACTGCCCATAGCAGTCTCTAGCGGCGATATCCGCACCAGCAGCGATGAGCAGCTTCGCAATCTCCTCGTCTCCAGCCCTAGCCGCGTTATGCAACGGGGTCTCAGCGTCATAGGTGCGGGCGTTGACGTTGGCGCCGGCCTCGATGAGCATCCGCACCTGCGCAACCCCACCTTCGGCAGCCGCGAGTTGGAGATGTGTGATCTCGTCGTAGGAGGATGCAGAAGCGTCCGCCCCGGCGTCTAGTAGGGCTTTTAGGGCTGCTTCGCTCCCCGGCCGTCCGGTGAAGTGAATCACCTGGAATTGACCGGGCCCGGATGTCTGTGAAATGTCGTCTCCGTCGAGAATAAGCTCCGTTAGGCGTTGGGTGTTGCCGTATAGCGCTGCCTCGTGCAGACATGCGTGCGGACACGAGTGCATTTCGCAGTCGGGGTTTTCTGGGCACATGTTGTCTGACGAGACGAAATGTGTATGAGCAAGTGATGACAAGATGGTAAGGAACAGAATAACAAATCCACGTCGAGGAAGCATAGAGAGAGTGTGTGTGTTTGCTTTGCGGGCAGTGAGTCTCTGGCAATTAAATCACTTTGCCTCAGTTGAAGAGTCGTCTATTCTTTTTGAACCACTGTTAAGAGCCATCTTTGGCCTGGGGCGTTGGTAGGCAGAAGCGGCAGATCAAACTCTATGAGCTGAATGCTAGGCCGAGAAGGGCATGTATCCACACGAAATGAGATGGGTCTTCGGCACATCGCAAACAAAAGACATCTCGGAGCGGTATTCTCCCAGGCACGATACACTAAGAGCACGAGGCTTAGGCAGAAGTGGCAGGCATCATGGTTCACGAAGAGTCGTGAATCGATCCAAGTGGGGAAAGACGCTTAGCTCGTGAATCACTTACACGTCGGTTGATCCAGAATGCAACCTTCAACTTCAACTACTCAAGCTTCAACGTGGGAAGCTTGGAAGACCACGGTTTTTTGAGCGAAGGAATCGGCTGACACTGCCTTACCATTAAGTAGGTACCGGAGTCCCAAACTGTGTTTCGACCCAAGGCAGAAGCAAATCCATGGGATCAGTGGACAACTCATACACATCATTGCGCAAAAGTGCGGTTAATTTGACTACGTACCACGGCCAGCCTACCAACATCACCACCAACATCACTTTATACCGCAAAAAGACTTACGGTACCGTCTTCAAGGGCGGAAGATGTGCATATTGCTAGAAAGCAAGTAAAGCCAACCGGTCTTGTTCGCAAGACCAAACGACACCTACTAATGCCCTCCAGAGAGGTAGAGCCGCGCAATATTGCCTAAACAAACTTGTACCTCTGCCAGGGGAGCTCCATAATCTCCCACATGCCCTTAACCTTGTTCATCACTCGATATTGCCCCCGGTTGAACCCGTTTGTCTCCGTATCATCACTCTTCCCATCGTCCACCGATTTGCCTTTCCATTTGCGCTTCGTACCAGTCTCCGGACCAACGCCGTCATCCCCAAGCTCCTCTAGATCGTTCATTCCCGCTCCGTCATCACCTTCTGAGTCCCGATAAGGCTCGATGACCCAGCAGACACTCATGCTGCGATACTCTGGGTGCGGTAGGACCTCCCACTCCGAACTATAGGGGGTTGCAATGAGGCATGGTCCGTCCACGTCAAAGACAGAAACGAGCTTCTTCTCAAGTTGTTCATCTCTCTCAAATGGCTCAACTTTACCCCCAAAACTCAGCATAAAGGTGAGAAGCTTGCCGGATGGCACCTCAGTTTCATACCGGTTGGATACCGGCCCTTCTGCACTGGTTGTCGAAGACTGCTGTGATGCCGCAACCACCCCATCAAGGAACATGTTGCGCCATTGACGCCCGAGTACATTGCTTGCCGTCCGGGGCTTTTCTAGATTCTCAGACACCGAAGGTCCAGTCTCTGCATTTTGGTCTTCCCTCGGGTCACTTTCATGTTCAACATCGCAAGCCTCCGTAATTGAAGGCGATCCTGCATCGTCGGTTCCGGTCTCGAATAGAGACTCTGGCACTCTTACTATCGACTTGCGGCGTTTCTTGTCGGCATCGTCATCAGAAGATGCTCCTCTTCGTGGACTAAACTCTCGCTTGTAGCGACCAGCCCACACTCCACCTGTGGACATGATTCGATCAAGGAGCCAGACTTGATGGTAGTCTCCATTCAGCCCGTGAGATTTATCAAATAGAATCGTCTCAGAGGCTCTTTGGACCACGTCAGGGTGCTCAAAGAGCTCGCGGCCTACCTCGTCAGGGAGGGTACCATGGCTACATGATGGCAACATGTCCACTCGCATTGACTGCCATATACTGTTCTCCACACCTTGAGCCTGCGGTTGTCGACCCTCCAGAGCTTCTTCGTGCAGGAATTTCAAGATGTCGAACATCATTGATGTCAACGTCTCTCGCAGTTGGAAGTGCTGCTCGATCATCTCTGCTAACGAACTCAAGGCAAAGACCACACCGGATGGCGAGAAATGCTCCCATATGGGGTTTTTATCTCCCACGGCACCGTCTCTGAGTAGATCATCTTTTATTGCATCCATAAGGCCGGGTTTACGAATTTGTGCCACGATTAGATGTGAACGAAGTATTACCTGCTCGCTTGTTTCGCCTTCGAGCGGTCGTGGTTTAGCGGTGAGTGGACGCATCGACAGCCATGTTTCTCGCCACCTCAGCTGTATGGGAGCCATATCAATGAGTGTTTCAACTTCCCATACATATGCTGGGCAGTCTCCATGCACTGGATGGTAAAGCCCTCCTAGCCGGAAAAAGTTGCTTCGGTAGAGAATTGGAAGGTTGATGGCAGATGATTCTGTATCGAATGGATGTAGCCATCGAGACCTTTGGGGGCCACCAGTGAGGCTCGAATCACCCGTATGATCTGGCTTCGTTCTTTGGACATATCCCTGTGACGGCATGAAACCGCCAGTTGTATACGCTTCGGGTGCTAGCAGAGAGAGGTCGCCATTCAGTAATGCGAGCCTCAGCAAGGCAGCACGAGAAGAGCCGCGAAAGTTGTCCATTAATTTGACTCTGAACCTGGTTTCATAGTGGCAGAGATCTGAGATCAATGATATGAGATGGGAGTCATTATCAACTGTTCGGTCCTTGAGAAGAGTCAGTGCAGAAGCTGCGTCTGCTCTGGGTCTTGGTGTCATTGAAATAGATCCTCCGGTTTTGACTTTGATCCTCACTGTAGTAGACCTTACGAAGGGGAATAGTTTCGCAACATTTTGTACCAATGACACGGCAGGGTGCGGAGATTCCATGTGCCAGTACAGGTTGGGCTCATTCAGTGTAGACGATATTCGAGAATCGCTGAGGAATGATCTGAGATTGAGAACTATTCTTTGTAAGTCGAGAATCGGGAGGCAGAGTATGTTCGGATGTTGGTGTTCCAGGAGGGAGGCCCGACAAAAACGAGGAGGCCAGGTGCTAATGCTCCAATCCGTTTGAGCGGTGCGATGCAAGACGAGGAACAAGTCTTCGCCTGCAGTTATCGTTTCCCCTAATGTGGAGCCGCAAGTAGACCAGCTATCCTGTCCAATGCGCTCGAAAAGGTAGCTGATATGATAAAGTATCTCAGATCGGCGGGACTCGTTTAGCCCTTTCATGCTGTTGCCGTTCACCAGGAGGTAACAAAGAACCTCTAACTCCTCAGGGCATTCGATCTCGACTGATAGTAGTGCTGCCGTTTGATGCGAGAGCTGAAACATGATATTCCAGTTTTCGGCTTCCAAGAGACTGCGATCATTTTGGGGACTTGAGCAGGATAGCGAAGGGGAGCAGTCCTCAATGATCCATATCAGCTTGCATCCCGCGACGTAAGCGGCAGCGATAGCCTGGTCTAGGACGCGATCTGGAGCCCTGTTGTTTCGGAGCGTCCCGTCAAGATTGCGGATTCGGAAGCTTCGCAGTGAGTACTCGTAGGAGTTGGCTTCCGGGTTTGTCCGTTCGGTATGACAGTACGAGATGGCAAGAAAATGGCTGCACAGAGCAACGTCCTCGTCCTTTTGGAGCAAGTTGCGAGGATTGATCTCTTTAAGAGTGCGAACTGTATCATGTGCCAGAAATTCGGGCAGATCCGAGCAAATCTTGCACTTGTGAGGCGAGCATACTTCGCACGGCTGGCCCTTTGCGCATCTGCCTTCGCAGAGTCTGGTATTCGTAGTGGCTTCGAGACGCTCAACGTATGCTGTGGCAGAATCTGGTGATTCCATGCAGTCGACAACCTCGCGGGCCTTCTCATTGTATCGTAGGTATTCGATATCGGAATCATCGAAAGCTAGGAGTATACAATTCTCTAACGCCCATCGCTCAGCTGCGTTTTGACTCAGATGATACGCATCAAGATGTTGTGACTGTTTCCGCTCTTCCCACGTCAAGGTATCACTGGGTGTGTACAAATCTGATATCATTGTGTTGATGATTGTAATCGAACCAAGTAAGCGAGACAATGATGGGGTAGAAAGGAGGCCAGATCATACCATGGATGAGCCAAAGATGAAATGTCTCGATGTGATATCGGTCACTTGAATACTGTCAAACAAGGTAAAAAGTTAAATGGCATAATGCTACTATCCTGTGATGCACGAGTGGCGGTAACTTGCTACACCAAGCACGGTACTTTGGCAGGAACAAGTAACCAACAAACACTAGCCCAAGGCCAACAACCATTTGAGAACAAACTTGAGGTTGAACATCCGACAAAGAGTGCCTGGCTGCTGGTTGTCAGCTTTGCCTGCAGTACGCCCATACGTCACTAAACTCCAGCTATGCAACGACGTCCAATAGGCGTTGATGACAACGCGCAATTGTCTCGCAGCAGACAGAGCAACATGTTTGATTTTCGCCGAAAGTTTCAGTTGCCTACTAAGTAGCGCAAGGCTTTCCCCCTCAGCCCCTTGGCAGGCGCCCAACAGTCAAATGTGTGCGCCAGAAGTGTTGAGGATGTTGCTGGCTTTAGAGCGGTGTTGTAACTCAAACGCCTTGCCTTCGTCATGACATCCCACTTGGCTGTCTTCTCGTAGGAATGTTGACGTGAAGTTTGCCTGCTAAAAGACACAAATCCGAAAGACAAAAGGAATGGTTTGAAGTAATCTGCTTTGTTTGACTGTTCCCGGTGGCCTTCCCTATCCCATGGGCATTCTTCATAGACTTCATCAGCATCTATTCCGCTTCAGCACCAATCACTAGGCCACGCCTCCAGTACCACTCTGCCTCGTTCTACACAATGACTCACAACGACGAGAACGATCGTGTGAAGAGCAAGGCATTCGGTGTCGAAGAGTGCGGTGAATCTAGCCGAACTGGGGCTCTTCTAGGGCATAGTTCCGCTCACATCAGTCAGGACTGCGAGGAAACCTCAGCTGAAGCCCCAGATAAAGGGACTGCCGAACGCGCGAAAGAATTTATGAATTTCATCCGGCAAGACTACCAGCAAAATGGTCCTCCGAGGGAGCTCTTGGGTAATGTCATATCGGACGGTATCGCTCGTGCAATGCAGACCTTGACTGAAGAGCAAGCGACCCAAATGGTCCATTCTGGTATGGAGATACATAATAGAGTCACAGAGGAGATCAGATCCAAGGGGCCGGGGATCCTCCGGCGGTGTATAAATGCTTATGGAAGACAGCAAAACCTCAAAAACAGAGTGGAAAGACAGAAAAACATCAACGACAGCGCGAGAGATTCAGCAAACTCCATTGTATGCGGATCTTGCTCGACCAGGCTGGGTATAGGCTGCCGATTCTATAGGAGCATTGACACGGTCAGCGATGCTGCAGATGAAGACCAACCTAGCCCAACACACTTGTGTTTGACCTGCTTCTTTGATGGCAAGGGAAGTCAGCAGAAGTCTTTTCAGTCTTGGGAGGTTTGTTCTAAGGGACTTCGACCAACACCAACAAGAAATCATGACCGCTGGGATCCCGCCATTCTGGAACAGCTTCCTCCTGTTGGCCAGCATCACCTTGAGACTTTTCACAAGGATTCGCCCATTTCCCAGATTCTTCAACGCTATCTCGGGTTCATCAATCTCGATAAGCACCAATATCGTGGCCCTATTGCAGCGGTTATGGGTCTCCATGGTCCTATCACAACTCGACCAGCACTTCAAATGCTCAAGAACTGGGCACTTATTTGCTTCCTCGTATCAGACTTTGGATTTCCTAAACGAACTGGCCAAATTTATTTCATGGCTCTACTCTCACCGCCCCAACGGGTCTCGCTTCGCCTGATCAAGGAGTGGTGGTTTTCCGAAATCCAGAACTCCATATTCGTCATGAAGACCATCGCATCATTGGCCAAGGATTGTATGCAGCCGCCGACTGATACCTTCCATTCATCCTCAAACTATGAGAAAAACAAGTACACCGAGGATTACCATGGGGACCTGCTCAAACTCTTTGAAGAAGAATTTCAGACGCTAAATTCGGGTAAAACACTTTCGACGCCTGAAATGCTGCCAACGTCCAGACTCGCTGCAGCAAACTCAGCATGCCGACAGCGGATGGGTTCTGAAGCTTCTTGCGGCCTCCAGAACCCTAACTCATCATCTGTAATCGGCCAGGAACTAGGAGAAGTGTTTACATCGGCAACAGTCGATGAGTTTTGTCGCCGATGGAGACAGAGTGTCAGATTTGCCTGTATGGACCTTTTGTGGATGATCAGGCTTTCGAACGCCCCGGAAGAGGCCGCGGGAACCTTCTGGCTCGTGATGGACTTCGTCACAGAAGGACCAATTGAGCTATTCAAAAGAGACTTGCTCCGTCCAGACATGATACTGGAAAGCAGCCGGATGAGTGTCTCTCTCGAGCCCTTGCCATGGCTTGCTGTCGATGCAGCAAAGAACGAAGACCGTCCCTTTTATCTATGGGATAGGAGGGACTCAAGGACTGTCGAGACCGAGAACCTGCCCCTGCCTTTGGAATACGTCGCTGTCAGCCACACTTGGGGCCGATGGAAAATTGATGGGCAGGTGGTGAAACTACCAGGGGTCAACTGGGAAGTTCCTGTCACAAGCATTTGGGACACCAATGAAATGCCCGAGATGTTGAGGAAAGTACCAGGGCACCAACGCTTCGTGTGGTTTGACTTGGTCTGTATACCCCAGGGACGAACGGCGAGTGAAGAACCATCACTAGGCATGATCGCGACTAAAGAGATTGCCAAGCAAGCGGTGATCTTCAATAAAGCTGCGCATGTTGTAGCTTGGATGAGTACCATGGGAGAGAACAACCTGGAGAACCTGCGTGAGACAGTTACGATTCTGTCCATCGGCAGCGGAGCCTACTACAAGACGCCAAGTCCGACCCACGGAGAAAGAACCGAAGCCGTGAGATCGACTATGATCTCGGGTTTGAAAGCACGAACATTCAGGAGCGCAATTCCGATGGTGGAAAATAATTCTCGTCACAAGCTAAGAAATGATCGTTGTTCGCACGAGCATATCAACATGTGGTTTACATCCCTCTGGACGCTGCAAGAAGTCTGCATACGGCCAGACATGTGGATTTGTGACAAGTCCTGGAACCTCCTCCGACTCCGGTCGACGCCTATTTGGGAAGACCGGCAGAACATTAGTTTTGATGCTATATTCTCACTCATAGAAGCCGCGCAGCAAAAGGAAATGTTCAAAAAGCTCCCGGGACCTTCCCATGAAGGTACTCAAGAACAATTTCAGGCCAAGTTCGATAAGCTCAATGACCATCTGCGGAATGCCAATATCTCCGATTTCCGAGACTGGGCTAAGATGAAGTCCTTCTTCGACGATGCAGATATTCCCTTGGCCGACTACGCCATCCTGGATGCTGAGGAGATTAAAAATATCTACACTGGGGCCGGAAGCGCATCGAGAGGACTGGGTTCTCGTGCGCAATTTGGCCCATGGATGAATCTTCCATTAGACATACACTATCTTCGAGGAATGTTGCAGGCGACTAGGATGCTGGGTCTTGGCGAGATGAGGTCACGAATGGACATTCTCGTCATGGGAGAGCGAAGAACTTGTATGATGAGAAGATCATACGACAGAGCTCAAGCTATTATGTCGGCAGTCGGAGCTATCGAGTGGTACTACAAAGATCATGAGCGGAATTCTGCTTTGATCCTGGGCCAGTACCCCGCGGCCTTCATCGCTGAGGTTCGAAACAAAGCAGGGCACGCCGACTTTTTCAGGTCGAGGACACTGAATAAACGTGCTCTCGAGATGATACGGGATTGGCAGAACCATACAGCCTTGGATAGTTCCAAATATGTCCCGATAGGCAGCTTGCTTCCATTCAGCAACTCGTCGGTTTATGATGTCGTCATTACTCCTATCAACTGGCCGAACGATTCACTTCCCCTCGAGGGACAATCCGCTTTGTCTGAATGGATAATCAATGATGATGGTTCTGTATACATTAAAAAGGCCGCTGTTGTGGTAAACACCAGCCGCCCTCGACCTATGCCAGATTGCCACATCAGGTGCTTCCACCCCAACTTCGGAAAGGGAGGGGGTAAAATGGGCGAGGATGTTTCCTTATGGCAAGGCTCTCTAGCTGGCTGGCTTGAAGAGCAGAAGAATATATCCGGTAATTCTTACTTGGTGAACTTGAGCCGCCAGAGACTACACATGAAGGAAAGGATGGGTTGGAGCTCGTGTCATGGCGTTATCCTCAAAGAGCTGAGACCTGGGGTGCTCGTCAAGATTGGAATGTATGCACTGACAGGCCATGAGCTATTCACATGGCCCCCGGCGACGCGTCGAAATTGGACGGTTCTCTGATAGATTCTAGGCCATGTATGAATGCAGCTTTAGTCAAGGAATGACTCTGTGACCTTTCATTGACTGTGTGTTTACACCCCCAAACAGCCTCATACCCGGCATAGTTGATGATTTCGCTGCCGTCAAGCACACTGCCCCTGGCTCGCCTCTGTCCACACCGTCTGCGATCGTGGAGGGCTGCTGCAGTCTGCAAGACACAGCGGTAAAGCTGTCTCAAACGTGATGGTCTGCGTATCGAAAGCTGAGAGAACATGGTCTTCCCTGCCTCACGATACCAACTCCACCACCTCTAACCATACGTCAGTTATTTACAGTAGTACGAGGCGTCCTAGCGTGTCTGGAATGCCTCTCCGACGGGCCATGAAGCATTCAGTCTAACGGGGATTGTGCCATAACATGTGGAGGTGGCAAGCCTCTACTTCTTACGTCGTCCAAGAGTTTTGGAGTGAGCCATGACGTTGGCAGACTAGGTAGACGATGACTGCTGTTCTGCACATTGAGGCATACCAAGGCAACCCTTAAGTGGTGCGACTTCATCTGAGTTACTTACCTTAAGTAGTAAATTTACTAGTACATGTATATGAAGAAAGTTTCCCCCGTGGCTATACGAGGCAAACTTGGTCTCACACCTTAAACTCCGCCTTGTAAACGCAAGACCAGTTATGTGTGACGACTTTCTGTATTCATTCGGTCATCCTGATTAGCTCAAGAGCAGTAAATGTCTGTATACCAAGATTACACCATTTCGGCAGCGTTCGGCGCCGTGCTAGGCTACATCGGAGCCGAAACTGGAACCAAGAGCGCCTTCGAACTGCTTCTGTGGCCGCAATGGTGTTTCTCTCGGCTCAATGCAAGGTCAGCCATTTCACAGGCTCCTCTCCTACCCATGGGAGGACCAACGCACAAAGCCGCGTTGAAGACGCTAGACGTAATCTCCGCCCACGGCCTGTTTAGAGGTTCCCATCGTGTACACATGCTCGACACCGTTTTCTACCCACGGCTTGAGGGATGGACCTACACCATGCACGGCGACGACCAGAACCTATCCCAGGACTATGGCCGCGCGCTCTGAGCCGCATGGCTCTGCCTGCCGCCCTGGACTCTCATTCCTCCAAGACGCCAATCCAAACCGCAGAACATGGCTCGAAGACGGCTCGAATCCCACCTGTAAGAGCACATGTGGCAGCGAGCCATCTCGTTCTATCGAGAGCCACGACGAAAGACAAGGCGTCCAAGATCCCACTTGTCATCGAAAACACCGGGACGCCGACATGCGCAGCATTCTTAGGGATCATTGTCTCCGAGCTCAGTGCTATAATCGTGGCCGTCACCGCAGGCATGGTGTACCGGTCACCTTGGGCTTTTCTATGGCTGGCGGCGCTGGCCTTGCGCCTGCTCGGCGCGGTATTCTCCCTCAGTCGAGAATCACTCGTGCCCTTGCCATTGGAGCGGGTCTGCGAGAAGACCTACGACTTTCAGATTCAAGGTCCGCAGTCAGAAGGAAACTTTATGAACATCACCGGCGCGCCATCAGTAGTCCTGTTAGTTCTTCCGCCATTACGGGCATCCCGTCCGGGACAGGCCCCGTGAGATTATCCAGCTGATTTTCATCGTCATGCTCGCCAGCCTATTCCCCACGGGGCTTGCGTGTTCCACCCTGTGGATGCCATCGGCGGTGACGTATCACGACCGCTACGCAGACGGTGATAAGCGTATGAGAGATCTGCTTCAACGTTCCAGCCGCTATAAGACTGCGAAAGAGTTTTCGCCATGTACATCTTCTCAAAAGCTACTGGGGGAATAATCGCCAGTTCTTACCTCTGGTTCCCTTCTTTTCTGGCTACTTCTTTTTTGCACTCTGCGCTGAAAATACTCTTCGTTACCTTTTATGATTACCAAGCTCACTCCGCTTAACTGAAGCTGCCATGTACTCTCTTTTGTCACAATGATCCGCTCGGTTCCTCTCAAAACCAGTACTATTACATATTCATGGGCATGCGCTTCCACCATCCTCGTCTCTTATCCCCTGAACTCAGCCCAGAAGTCTCTTTCAACTGCCATTATTCCGTATCATCACAGCTAAACCCAGGCACATACTCCATCAATATGCCAGGAACCTCAAGAAGCCGGTTCTCAACGTCTCCTCCTATCGAAATTTGCACCGTGCAATGCGCCTTGGGCAACCTAATACCCTTCTCCACGCCCATCCGGGTCTGCAACCGATTCAACCGCGCATTGGCAATCCCATTACACTGAGACTGGCGGATCACCTCCTGCTCGAGCAAGTTGACAGGCGCATCCTTCTCCTCCTTCTCGTCTTCATCGCTATCGGAGTCCCAAAGGGACTCGTGGAACTCATTAGCGGCGCCCCGGCGGACGTAGTCGACAAATTCCTTTTCAAATTCCGGCGTCCACCCAGCGTGCTCCAGACGTTCCCGCGCGCGTTGGATGCACGGCGAGAAACGGCGGTCAAACAGCTTCAGCACGGCCTTGGTCGGCGGACCGGAGGCCTTCAGGACGGCGACTTCCAGGACGGTCCAGTCGGAGGGTTGGAAGACTTGCGCTATCACCATGCGCATGTTCCCGACAAAAGGGTGCCTGCCGCTGACGGCTCTGCCGGTGATGATGTTGCCGCGGTAGTATGGGTTTCTTCATAGGATACGTCAGTAATGTTTTTTTCTAAGTCTTCTAAGTTTTAGGTAGCTTACGGTGAGTATGCCATCTGGAGCCAGTTCACGATGGACCTGTAGAAATCACCAGCTCCTCGCGCCAATCCGAGGAAAAAGCTTTTGATGGAGTGCAGAATGGCTGCCATTCCACCTGCCAGTGTTGTTCGTACAATATTATTTTCTTCAAACCACTAGGCTAGGTATGTCGTGTTCTTGATGGTACGATTTGAGGTTGAAATGAGGGCGACGTGGGAACAAAAGTTGGGATGGAAAAAGAAAAAAAAAGTAAAAAAGGGCACTGGGGCGTTGAAGATGGTGGAGGACCCTTGTCGAACATGCCTAATTCGGTAATTAGCTAGAGCTTGTGTGGAGAAGTCGTGCAGTGAGCATTGACGCCAGAAGTCACGCTAGCGGGCCGCTCACCGAGACATCCCAGCCCCCCGGGTTCGGCGGTGAGTCTCGGTGTGGCCGGCGTGGTCTAAGACAGAGCCGAGAGAAGATGAGTTTCTCGCATTTCTACCTGCTCAACAGCTCAACGGATGTTGATTCAGCATCAGGCAATGTCTGAATATCTCCATATTGGAGGGGACTCGTCTCGACGCAAACGCCGCACAGACACATATCATGGAAAACACGCCACAACCTCCCGCATGAAGTTTCATGACACTGCAACGGAAGACCGGCTCCACACACCCCGACTTTACACGTGTCCGGCCGGGAGATAGGGGTCCTTTGGCTGATAGTTTCCGTCTCAACCGGCTCCATGCGCTTTGAGAATACCATGTTGGCGAAGAAGAGGTCACGCAGCTGCGAGTTGTCCTGCCCCCCCCTTATTGTCATTTCCATCTATTGATATCTAATTCCTAGCCAGATACCTCTGCTTCCTGTGTTCAGCATCTAATTTTCCGTAAATGAAACCCAGTTCCTCCCCCCCCCCCCCCCATAACGCCTCCCAATGTCCCATATCCAATGTACATACCCTCAATATACACAATGAAACTCCCGCCTCTTTGCACCCCTCGTTCCTCTTGCCATTCAAGAGACGGCATTGGGGAAGAATCAGCACAACCATCTCGACGCCGTAAACCCAGCAACGAATCCGCCCAACACAAGCGAGACCCCAATCGCCACCGTAAGACTCTCGCTGACCTCGCGATCAATCCACCGCTGCCTAAAGCTGAACTTGCCGAGGCGCATGTGGAACATCTCCTTGACGTCGACTTCGCCCTTCCAGTTGGGCTTCACCCGCATCGACTCGCGCTTGGAGAATTTTCTCTCCACTCTTTTTGTGGTTAATCGCGTCTGATTAGTTTTCCGTCAGTTCAAAATAAGACAAAAGAGAAGAAAGTCAAGAGGGAAAGAGGGAAGAAACACCAGAATAGCAAAGGGGGAAGGATGGAAGAGGAGATGAACGGGCAGGCGGAACTTACACCAGAGACAAGCAGATATCTCCCTTCAACTTGGCCTTGAGCTCCAGATCAACATCTAGATTCAACCCAATCTGCAACCTCACAGGCTTCTCGTCCCGGTCCCCGCCCTGCCGGGGAATCACCACCGTCGTCTGCCTGTTGAGATTCCCGCCGTTGCCATTCTTGTTATCAATGTTGATACTTCCACCGCTGCCATTAAACGCAGACTGATGATTGCCGTTGCCGTTGCCGTAGTTATTATTGATACCACCCCCGTTCCCGTTCCCATTCCGGTTGCGATTCCTCCGCCTCCTTCTCCGGGCCCCGGCCCCGCTCCCGCTTCCCGTATTCTCGCTGCCGCCACCGTTGACGCTTACGCCCGAGTCGACGGTCGAGAACCCCGTGCTGGAGTCCCCCGCGCTCGAGGCCGAGTCGTCGGCGCGCAGGCCCAGTTCGGCGAGGATGTCGTTTGCGTCTGGGGCGTAGGTGGAGGGGCTTATTGGGGGCGAGGCGTAGCGTCGGTGGTGGGCGTTGGGGTAAGTTGTTACGATGCTTCTTGGGGCCATTTTTACGTTTCTTGGGTTGGCTTTGGGTGATTTGAAGTGAAAGTGTCGTGAGGCTTGATTCGCCTGGATTCTTTGGTACTCGCGGTTCTAGTTGACTCTTGTCTTCCTCCGAGGTCCTAATTAAGACTTGGAATATAAATTGAACGTCGAGGAAAATCCAACCCTCGAATAGATACGTCGGAAAAGATCCAATTCGAAAATGAACATTGGAACTTGACGGGACCGATCATCAAGGCGATATCTGTATTTTATACCTGTCCAATTCCTCCTCCCATCCTAATCCAAGCCAAGGTAACCCATGAAACCTCTCGCCGCACCCAACAGAACACAAAAGACCATATTCCCTGAACCCTCGTTTCAACAAGCCGCAAATCTACCACGTCCATGGGGGGAAAACACCCAAAGAATGTCAAAAATTGGCCAGAGTCGACTTACACGGGCCTCCTTCAACACTGAACCACCGTCACGTGATGGGTCGATGGTGGAGAAGGACGGGTGAACATCTCGTACGATGCCGCCAGACCCTGAAACCGTAAATGCAACCCTTGACAATCAGATCCATGATCCCTTCTCCAAAAAGTCGAGACTGCCTTTACTCACTTTTCTCTCTCTCTCTCTCTCTCTTTCCGCCAACGAAACGAACCAGGATGTATCCGTACTGCTAATGGGATTCCCTACCACCTTTTACCAGGATAACTGAGAGAGAGAGAGGGTCAAACACTCACCACCGACCGACGACCCCTATCGTATGTTTACAAGACTCCGTCAAACCCATCAAGCGTGGGGAGGATCGTTATCTTTTCCAAAGTCTTGAACAGGAAAACCTCGCGTTGGTCATCAAACCATTCGTTCTATTAATCCCTTCTAGAAATTTTCGTCCGTAAGAATGCAGTATTCGTTACCAAGTATCGATAACCGAAAAGAAAGATTCATCGGGGGGGAAAGAACCCCTGTTCCCGTATGCGCCGCACCTAGCCCTCTCAACTCCATCCGAAATTCCTCTCATTCCCTATCCGTGTTTCTGCGGTTTCTGCGATTTGCAAACATTGTGCCCTTCCTCTTATCGCCTTTGAAATGAAGGATCTTTGTACCCTGTAGCAAAGCTTTGACGGTAAACCCCATGTTGTTGAGGATTCTAGAACCTTTTCGTCCCATATTGCCTTTCCCGCATTCATGCGATGCCTTCTAGACCACGCCGCATAGAAGGACCCCTGACCACCACGGCGAAATCTCATGCTGTCTAACGTCGAAGCATCAGTTCCGCCAGGGTCTCCCCCCCGGGTCATCGTTGATGAATAGCACCACCTTTTCAGCAATCTTCTTCTGTCGTCCGTGAGAAGAGTGAATCCCCTCAAGTACTAAGCAGATCCCTAACCGACATCCCCCGCCCAGCACCTCTGGTCGGATTCACACTAGCACCAGCAGTCCCGCCGCTCGCCTCCCCAACCGTACCCCTCCGATCGCTATTCAGCATCAGCAGCGCAGCCGTCGCCTCATGATCCAAATCGCGGTCCCGCTGCGGCGCCAGCGCGGGACTCGTCAAAGTCGAAAGGCTGCCGTACCCGCCGCCGCCAGCGTACGCCTGCGGCCCGAACGCGGGTGACGTTGTCGTCGATGTGCTGTAGCTATAGCTGTTGTGGCGCGGGTGGTCCGTCGAGACAGACGAATAGGAATCGTGGCGGTGTCTTGAGTCCTGCGGCAAGAGGGCAGGCGATACGGATGGCTGCTGGGAGCGGGAGTGAGGGAGTTGTTGTTGCTGCGGGTATTGCTGCTGCTGTTGCGTGGGCGGAAAAGTCGGTGACGGGGCCTCGGAGTCGGTCATCTCCACATCGTCGGGATCTTCTTGGTACCGCGGCACGAATTGCGGGATCTGGCCCCACGGCTCGGCGCGGGACCCGCCGGAAGGCGTCTGCAGGCCGGACTCGGTAGGTGAGCGAACCTCGGAGGCGTCGCGTTGGGCTTTGAGCTTGGAGACGCAGTCTTCCAGGTATCTCACGTATTCGATCGATGCCTGACCATTTTGTACGATTAGCAACTTCCCCTCGAGGTTCCTACCAGGTTCCTCCAGGATGGAGTGGGTGGGTTGCCAACTAACCTGTAAGATTGCCAGCTTGTGCATCTCTCCAGTACAAGCCGGAATCATACCCTTGAGCACGGCAAACTCCTCATTCATCTTTGATCTCCGGCGCCGCTCAATCAAGCTGTGTGCCGTCTTCCTCGCAATCTTGCGTCCAGCCACACTTGTCGCTGACGGCGCCTTCTTCTTGCCCTGCGCCGTGGAAGCAGTGGAAGAGGCCCCATTCGCCGCCGCCGCCGCCGCCGGGCCGGCCTTCCCTGGACCCGCAGCTCCGGACTTGGCACCGGCTGCCGCCGCCGGAGCGTCTTTCGCCTCGGCCTCGTTCTGCTGCTGAGCGCGCGGCTTCATCTGGATAATCTTGCGTGACCTAGTCGGCGGCGGAGGCAGCGCGAAGTTTTCGTTGGAGGAAGCAGCCGCCTTTTGAGCCGCCGACGAGCGCCGGCGGGATTTCACCGTCTCGCTGGGCTGGACCGGGTACGGCTTGTTCGCGTTGACGTGGGGCGGCGAGATGGGCTGGAAGCTGTTGGTGTTGGTGTTGCTGGGCGGCGAGATGGGCTGGAAGCTGTTGGTGTTGGTGTTGCTGGGCGGCGTCCTCCTCGTGTCCTTTGGGGAGAGCTTCGAGGCGTCTTGGATGATTGCTGGCGGTGGCAGTTCAAAGGATAGCTGGAGGGAGGCGAGGTCCTTGGAGCCGTCTTGGCCCTTTATGTCCGTTGAGGACGCGGGCGTGGGTGGTAATGTTGGACGCGGCATTGTGTATGATGTATGTTCGCGTGTGCGTGTGAGTTGTGAGTAAGAGAGGGAGGGAAAGATGGAGAAAGACGATCAAAGGTACGAGCGGACTCTGAGCGATTAACACGAAGAGAAATTCCCCAACCGGACAGAAGCTAGATTGAGAACGGGAAGCCGAAGTTTGAGAGAAATTTTCGAGGCTCTACCGCTGAGAGACAAATTCGGTTGACGTCTGTTTTTGAGGCTGTGCCCGCGGGCAAAGATGACGGCCGCCGGTGTAGCAGCAGAGCTGTTCTGGGCTTGGCGACAGATGCAGACGCCCCGGTCGATGCTGGCTGTCTGCTAGAGGGATGTGTATCCGATTCGCTGGCCTGGTTTAGACGAGAACTGGGACTCGAGAGTGAGAGAGAGCACACGTATGTCGAGAGAGAGGTAGCTGGGGTTTTCCGTAGAAAAGAAAAGGTCGTGGGAAGATGTAGAGGGGGAAGGGAAGGCGAGGCAGAGTAAAGGTAATGAACTGCAGATACGGCGCACGACCACCACGACTTTGGACTGACTCTCACTTTTCTCACCATCCTTGGCCTTGTTCGTCCTTATTGTCTCTCGTGCCTGTCCGTCTCTATCTAACTACAACCCCGGACCCGTGTATCCGTAGCTGCAATGTGTTAAGGCACTCGCCTCAGATAGCCATCAGCCTCTTAGCAGCCGTCTAGCCACCCACGCCCCCCCTCCTCATGATGGCCGGGGGGAAGAAGGCTGGTCCTTCTCCCGGCATAGTCAACAACCCTGATGGAAGTGACGAGGGGTGGTTACTCAACGAACTAGCTTGGAGGACAGAGGGCACGCGACATCCCAAGCCCAGAAAGAAAAGGGTCCCCCGAAGAGAGCCCCCCCGTGGACACAAGGCGGGAGGACGCAAGAGATACAGCCCGGGGGAAGCAAACAATAAGACGAACGAAAAAGACCAAAAAGCAGAAAAGAGGAAGACATCCAATCAAGAGGGCGGACCTGGACTCCTGGGCGAGGAAACGGGTAGGAGAGGACATCGAGGGTTCAAATGTGTTGAACCAATCAGAGTGCCGAATTCGAGCACATGGTGTTCCTGAATGGCAACTGAGCAATTCCTCCCCCCCAGCGCCAAGCCGAGCGCCCGCACGCAAGGTTCACTCACACACTGCCCCTTCAGATTTCAGATGAGAATCAGAGCTCCCCCCCAAAACGCACGTTCGCACTCAGAGGTACTGCCTAATAAAGATGCTGGCTGGTCAAATGGGATCGACGGCAATAGGTATCCTCCCACAACTGCCAAGTCCATGCCTACCTCCACTACATACAACCTGTGGATTCTTCTTGATCCAAGGACAAGAGGCACGAGGGGAGGGGCGTCTGTAAACCTGAAGCGGGTCTCTGAAGCTTACTTTTCGATGCGATTCTTGTCCTTGATTTGGGGTGAATTGAGGAATCTAGAGAGAGGCACGAGACATGTGCTCGGCATCCTGTTGGTCAAACAACCTTCCCCGGGCAGGCTGGGCCAGACCTCTTACACGTTCGCGATTTTCAACAAGGGAGCCGCGTTTCCGTGGCCAAAGTCCGGAACCCGTAAATCCCACCTTCCCTTACCCCAGCCTTCCAGTTTGCGTCGCGTGCCTGGCAACGTGCCTCTTGTCTGTATCTGTCATTGATGGAGTTGTCGTTCCAGTGTTTGAGGTTGATTCGCAGAGCTGAAGGAGGGTTTGAGCCTACTCGACTCGTACACAGGAATACCTACTTATTCGTACACACGACCTTAACCTATGCGGGACCGATGACGAACCGGGCCCCTGTCCTCTTGTAAAGTGAGCACGTGGGCAACTTCTCTGTTTTTTTTCTTTCTTTCCACGAACACAGGAGGACTTTCAACACACTCGCATTTTGTCGACCATTCTCCTGCTTCTCTGATCCGGTCCTAGCCTCTACGACCTGTTGCACTCGCCGTGGAATATCTTCCCAATTCACCTTCATCCCGTACCAATCCGATAATTACCTCAGTCTTTTAACCAAATCGGGACACAATGCAGAAAAGAGGCCGCCTACAGCATCTTCTATGAGGGAAATTCCAAAGCCAGATGGGAAAGACTAGTCTGAGCACCTTTACGTCTGAAGTGAGCCGCGTAGCCGCCCAGGTCCATGAATCCGGATTACCTCTTTCTATCTTCCTCCTCCCCGTGACCTTCCTTCTCCTTCTCCTTCAAGTGTAGTAGGTAAGCAGGGAAAACCGGGGAATCCAAAACTCTATAAAAGAGGAGCTGGCAGCAGCAGCTGCAGCTTGTGCCACAAGTGCCCCAAGTGCCCCAGAGTGGCAGAGTCGCCATTCTCCAACTTGGGGTTAGCGGCCGGAAAACATCCTTGGTGGGAACGGCATCCCGGAGTAAGGACCCGCTGCGGACATGGTGGGGGGTGATCCAGCAAGGAAGCTTGGTTCATGTCATCGCCCCCTCCCCTCCGTCTTTTCGGCATTCATTGTGCGTGTTCTGAGGTCTTCATATGCGCACGTGACAGTATGGTATCGACAACTATAATTCATCGAGTGCTACGGAGTAGATGGTCGTCAATAGATGGCCAGGTTATGTTCTAATTCGGACTTGGTTCCCTACTTTCCTCGAAAGCAAAAAAAAATAAATCTATGAAGATACTGACCGATTGGGAGGAAACTGGACAACGTACCTAGTAAGGTAGGCGATTGATGCATACCATGAACCAGGAGACAGACACCAACTCGATCGTGACGGATCAAGTTGACTACAGAAAGAAATTCTGCAGACACTGGCCGAGGATACCAGGCCAAGGAGGAAAAGGACCCAAGGCTATTTCATCTCACGTATGGAAAGTTGACTTCATGCAATCTTTACTTATTTCCTCTCAGTTAGGTAAGCTAGTTGGAATTTTCATTTCAGACCGTATCAAATGCTCGTCAATGCTTCACACATGCCGTGATGAGTGTTAAAAGTAAACCAGATATCCCATACCATCGCCCAAAAATGACAGACCCGTAAAAGAAAATCAACCCCCATCCCAACGTACATCCCTCAACCCCCCCCCCCCCCCCCCAACCTCTCTTCTCTTTCACGCCAACGACGCCATTTCAAACCTCGTTACTCGGGTACGCAACCTTGGTCGTGGCCGCAAACTCCTCCTTGATACTCCTCAAGCTCACAAACCGGCTCAGCAAGTTCTGGCTACCAGCCTTGTCGTTCGTCCCGCTCGCCCGGCCGCCGCCAAACGGCTGCTGGCCCACCACGGCGCCCGTGCTCTTGCAGTTGATGTAAAAGTTGCCCGCCGCGTTGCGCAGCTTCTCCTCCGCCACCACCACCGCCGCCCGGTCCTGCGCGAACACGGCGCCCGTGAGGCCGTACTCGCCCGTGCCGTCAATCAGCTCGCAGGTCTTGGCAAAGGCGTCCGCCGGTGCCGAGGCGTCGTCGTACGTGTGGATGACGAGCACGGGACCGAACAGCTCGGTGCTCAGGAGCTTGTGGTTCGCGTTCGTGGTGTGGTAGATTGTCGGGTGGACAAAGTAGCCCTTTGACGAATCGTACTTGCCGCCCGCGACGAGCTCGAGAGATGAGTCGTTCTTGGCTGCGTCAATGACGCCCGACAGCTTCTTGAATGAGGCGTCGTGGATGACGGGACCCATAAAGTTGGCGTGGTCCGTGGGATCGCCAATGGTAATCTTGTTCACCTCGGCGACAAGACCCTCCTTGAACTGCGGCCACAGCGACTTGGGCACGTAGGCCCTCGACGTGGCGCTGCACTTTTGGCCCTGGAACTCGAATGCGCCGCGGATGGTCTGCTTCACGGCGTTGTCGACATCGGCGCTCGGGTGGACGAGGTGGAAGTTCTTGCCGCCCGTCTCGCCGACGATGCGCGGGTACGATGCGTACCGGCCCTCGGCGACGCCTTGTCCGATGGCACCGTACAGCTTGCGGAAGATGGCGGTGCTGCCGGTGTAGTGGAGGGACGCAAACTTCTTGTGTGACAGCACCTGGTTCGTAATCGCCTCGGGGTTACCGGGCACGAACTGGATGACATCACGGGGCAGACCGGCCTCGAGAAGGATGTTGTAGACGAGCCAATTGGAGGCGATGGCGAAGTCACTCGGCTTCCAGACGACGACGTTGCCGAGCAGCGCGGGGGCACCGGGGAGGTTGCCGGCGATGGCGGTGAAGTTGAAGGGGCTGACGGCGTAGACGAAGCCCTCGAGGGCCCTGTACTCAACACGGTTCCAGACGCCGGGGCTGTTGTGCTGCGGCTGCTGAGCGTAGAGCTCCTCGGCGTACTGGACGTTGAAACGGAGGAAGTCGGCCAGCTCGGCTGCGGCGTCGATTTCGGCTTGCCATGCGTTCTTGCCCTGGCCGATCATGGTAGCGGCCATGATGTCGTAGCGGTATTTGGTGGCGATAAGGTCGGCGGCCTTGAGGAAGATGGCGGCACGGTCGGCAAAGGGGAGGGATTCCCACGCTGGCTTGGCTGCGAGGGCCGAGTCGATTGCCTTGGTGACGTCGGAGGGCGAGGCTTGGTGATATGTTGCTACTGTGGTGTTGTGGTCGGCGGGGTTGACCTGCTTTCCAGTGTTGCCCGTCAAGATCTAGGTAGTTTTGTTAGCTGTACACGGTCGAATTGGGAGCTATAGAGATGGATATGCTCGACTTACCTCCTTACCGCCAACAACGATTGGAACCTCCAGAGGCAGCTTGCTCTGCAGGGTCTTTACCGCGGCATCAAGGCCTTCACGCTGTGAAGAGCCCTTGGCATAGTGGTGCTGTGATGATTGTCAGCCAACTGCCCCCTCACCAAGCTCCCTCCCAAAGCTTCATTTGTTGTGTCACCTACGTTAGGCTCGTTGGAGATCTTGGGGATCTTGAAGGCAGCAAACGTCGCCATTCTGGTGGTTGTCCTCGTCGCGGGAGCGGACAGGCGTGTTGTGAGTCTGGTCGTCGGAACTGCAGATACGCTGCGTCCGAGGGATGTGATGCGGGAAGCGCTTC